ATGAAACAACATTTCTGGGAAGGTAGTTTGAATTTGTTGGAGCCTGATAAACAGCAGCATAGCTGAATAGCCTGTTAGGCTCCAAGAAATTCAGCTGTTTTCGGAAATGGACAGATCTTATCCTAGAACGATCCAGAACATTTCCTGAAGAGAGCTCCCTCTTCCCGACTTTGCAGCATGCAGTGTGCTCTGCCAGTGAATAGTGACAAAGAACAATTCTGTTGTCTGTGTTAGTTGGCAGGTGGTTGCAGGAAGCCATAGAACATTCTGGAATGCAAGCCCATATTGTAGTCACTTTTCCAGCTGGTATTTCCACCTTCCTTCCAGAACATGCCTGCATGTTCTATGGTGACTGAAAATGAAATTAACTCATATCCAGCTTCCAACTCCCTCCGTGAATGCAAGGCTATGCGTGTACGTGTAACACAATAGGTCATTCAGAAAAGGGAAAAATCATTTCCTAAGACATTAACTTTTCTAAAAGGGTTATTAGAAAATTTATTTACAGAAGCAAATGCTATCTTTGTCTTGTTTGTTCTGACTTGTCACTCTCGTTAGAGCCTACCGTAGGACACGTGGAAGTGAAGCATTTCTCTCGGGTGTTACATATGTTGGCGTCTAGGAAAAGTGAATCGGTCTGGGAAATGACGGTGAATTCCTCCCTGAAATGTGGAAAACAGAAATTTACATTTCAAATACCGACTTGGGCAGGACAAATCCCCTGAAAATTCTAGTCTGTGACAATTGTGTTTTCTTAAGTCTCCTGTGTGTGCACTGCCCTCTCCCTAATGCCGGATCCCTCCCACCTCCTACAGCACTGGCTTTCTCTCCCCAAGGAGTGAGGGCAGCTAAGAAAATACTCTTCACCATTGGCAACTGAAGATGCAGAATGAATTTGTCTAGTTTTCCACATGAACCCATCTCCAAGGCAAGATCCCCTTTCTAAGTATGATTAACCTCTTTCTCCGCTACATCCTTAATAGGCCTTTGTCTCAGACTTCCTAAGGAAAAGGTTTTTGCCTAGGGATTTTGATTTGCCTAGATAGTAGTAAATAAATACAGTCTCAACTCTCAAGTTCTTGGATCTGTGGCTCTGAGAGCAGTATGGCTGAGTAGAAATGCTCCAACTCTGGACCAGTCCTGGGTTCTAATTCCAGCCCCACGAGTTACTAGGATCCAGGGAACTAACTGCTCTCAACCTGTCTGTGAGAGGACAATAATATCTTCTCACAGTGTTGCTACAAGGATTGCATGAGACATTGTATGTAAACATAATCTAGTCTCTCAGTAGCTATTCGTGCCTGACGAATTTTTGCTGGAGCATTTGAGGGCAGTGGCTTTCACTAGGAACCTCGGGTAAGAGAAAGACAAGCCTGTAAGACAATTAATTCAAATAAAAAATAAAAACAGTGCAGTGGTGGCCCCAGTACCGAGTTCCTCCTCAGAATGAGGATGAGCTATCGCTCATCTCCGATGGAAGGAGACGGTTGGAGGGGGATTGTGAATGTAGTTATTTTATATTTTTCTACTGGGTAAAAGACAAATGAGCCAATCCTCCGAAAAGAATTGGAGGTTGGTAAATTTTGGTGTTTTTATTCCTGGCTCATTATTTTTAAAAAGTAGGACGTGAGTTCTCAGCCATGTGATCTTCCCACTGCCAGATTTATTATTGGAGAGAGGACTTCCTGAGTACCTGTCACTGTGGCTTCTTTGGTCTTTGTAGCAACTGGTGATGTGCAGGAATCATTATCCACATTTTATGGATGAAGACAGTGAGACACAGAGAGGTGAAGAACTTAGGTCACACAGCTAGTGTGTAATTTAACTCAGCGTGTCATACCAGCCCCAGTGGGGTGACGACTTCAGCAGCAAGCCTCTTTGAGTTCAAAGACCTTTTCTCTTAGTTGCAGAGACAAGAAACAGCTACAGTTCCCTTAAGACCTGCTTGTACAATACTTTCTATTAGGGCATTAGAAGCTCAGAAGGAAGAGATCAGTGGGTGCTGGAGAAGTCAGGGTTGGCTACTTGCAGATCTGCATTATGACTTCCCTGGGCCCATTTAAAAAAAAAAAAAAATATTACTCTTTATGACTGTGTTGGTATAGAGATTAATGTAATACAGGCTAGATTATGTGTTATTATCGTATGTATTGTGTTTTTGTGTTTTGTGATTTTAAGGGAAATCAAATTGAAACATTTTGCAGGCTCTGTGCCCATTGTGCCTCGTGGATAGGTGGCCCTGCCTGCAACAGGTGTGGACATTCCACTGTGCTCTGAACAATGGGAGAAAGAATTTGAATATATGGAAAACAAGGGTTCTAGTTAATTGCATGAACAAATGGGTTTGGGAATGACAATTATGGAAGCAGGTGATCCTAGCTATTCAAAGGGAAGGGTGCTTGTTGGGATTCGAGGGCAATATGGGGACCTTGAAAGCCCACTAAGGCTTCTAGACCGGTGGAGTCAAGAAGGAGGGTAACCGAATTTAGTCCCAAAGACAGCAGAGGAAGGAACAGTACCCACCCATAATAAACCTTTCATTCATTCATGGCAAAAATGAGAGAAAAAAGGACAAAGCAGTCCACTTTTTATAAGGCTGAATTTATTCCATTTAAAGAGCTGTCCTTTTTATGTATTATGTTCTGTGGGTTTACACATTTCCTCACTTTATCATGAAGTGAAGGCAATGGCCTTCGTAAATGGCCATTTCTTTCAATATCTTTATTTGGCAAAATAAAAAATTGACAACCCTAAATTGGCCACAAAAATCACTTTGAATTTTTAATTGGTCCACAAAATCCAAAGGAGTTGAATTCAGTTTGCCATGTGGAGGACAGCCCATGTTCTCAATAGCCTCAGCGCTCCACCAGCCCCAATGGCTTAAATTCAGTAGTCCCTGTTCCCATCCTACTGGGACACAGGTCCCCACAGCTCCAGGCAGCCATCCCTTTGTCCATGAGTATAGTCTCCCACTGGCTGCTCCTCTTCCTTTTGCTCCACTCACGGTTCTGGATGGGTGCGGGCCTTCCACCACCACAGTCAAACGGACAATCATAGCAATCAACTTGAAAGGTAAATCTGATTTGCTGGCCTACAAGGAATTGCATATGTCTTCCTCGTGTCTTTCATTCTCTTGGGGCCTGGAGTTTATGGATGACAGCCCACATTACTGGCCCTATACAGGTGGCCTGGATGGGTCCTTTTGAGTAACCTGGAGAAGGACCACAGAAAGCAGGGAGCCTGGGGCGGCCTGGGCTAGTAGCAAACCTGGCCCAGCCTCCTGGAGGAGGAGCCTTTGCAGACACATCCCGCCCAGTTAGAGGCTCTGGCAGTGCTTGAGTTAAAGGTGACAGAGACCTAAGTCTGTGGCCATGAGGACAGAGAGGGGGGCCATAGTCGGGGATATTTCACACTAAATCCTGGACAAGGTCCACGCTGTATGGTGACGAATGGCTTGCAGGCCTCAGTGAAAAGGAGTGTCAAGGATGCCTTATTGAAAATAAATGTATTTGCAGTCCCTTCTCTTTAACAGCGTTAGCCTGTGACTGCTACAATCAGTTTAAGCCATGGCTTTCTGCCTGCAGTAACTTTACAATTTTCCATCAAGCTCTTGATTTTTGTGATCCTTAGTAAATCCTGGCATATCCCTTAGAACAATTTACAAAGAATTTTGTAAATACTACGTTTAAGTCGCCTGGTTTCATTTGTAGGAGTTACTAACGTACCTGTTGATTACCTATGAGCACAGGAGCTTTAAAATTTGGTTTTGTTTCTCAGTAAAATTCCCCATGTCAATTCATCATTTCTAATATATTGTCACTGAGAGTTATATAGTCCCACAGCCTCCCCTGTGATCGCAGCAGGAGGGCCACTCCACTGGCTCATCTCATTATAGTGTCAATGCAATAAGCACACAAATGTCCATTCCTAGATAGGAGATGATACAATGGTCCAGTCGTGGCTCATCAGACCTGGGATAAAAGTCCTAAGATTTGACCTTTCTCACTATTCGCTCTCAATAGTATCGTCTAACTGAATAGAGTAAGCAATTAACGACATTTTATTACATCACAAGGGCTGGTTTCCTCCCATAAGCAGTTAGACACACCTGGGTTTAAATCCCAGCCCTGGGGCGCCTGGGTGGCTTGGCTGGTTAAGATTCTCTCTCTTCCTCTCCCTCTGCACCTTCCAGCACTTCCTGGCACAGGCACACAGTCTCTCTCTCCCTCTCTCTCTCTCAAAAAAAAAAAAAAAAAAAGTAAAAATAAATAAACCAAACCCCAGCCCTGTGACCCACTTACTACTCGAAAGAACCTGGGCAGGAGCCAAACCTCTCTGACCAAACCAGAGCACATGAAGCGATGAACCCCTGCCAAGTAGGGTTGGGTGAGAACGTCGAAGCGCGTGTTTGAATGCCCTGTGTATGCTCACTGCTCACTTTTTCTTTAAGACCTTATTTACTTGAGAGAGAGAATGAGAGAGCACGAGAGAGGGGAGGTTCAGAGGGAGAAGCAGGCTCCCCACAGAGCAGGGAGCGGGACGCAGGACTCAATCCCAGGACCCTGTGATCACCACCTGAGCCGAAGGCAGATGCTTAAACCACCTGAGCCACCCAGGCACCCGCTCTGTTCATTTTTTAAAAGAAAACCTCTGTGGAGGTCTTCTGCCTTCCATTCTATGAAGTCCAGACATTACCCTTGACTTTTCAAGCTGAGGCCTCTCCTTCCTCCTCCCGGGTCAGGGTAGGGTTTCCGGTGCCGTGTGCCTCTCCCCCTCCCTCTGCCACCAGTTTTGTTCCAGCGCCATCCTCCGCATTACGAAACTGGTCACAGGAGCCACCTAGTGCGCTAGTACCCAACACAGACTTAGGTTTACTAGAGAAATAAATTCTGTAAGTCCTTTAAATCCATCCTAAAAAAAATAAATATAGCTGTATTTTCATGTCTGTTTTCTGAAGTTTCTGCTGTACCTTCAATATATGTTCTGTTTATTTCCTGTAGATCGTGGTTCCTCAGGGAAGAACAGAAAAGAGGAAAATTACATTTTTGAGTCCAAGAGCCATCGAGGAGGACGAGGAGGGGAACACCCGGCCCCAGAAACAGGTAAATGTGTGACCTGGAAAGTCACTGCCGAGTATAAGCGTCTGCAGAATCGCAGGTCTTCCAGTTGCAGTTCTCAGAGGAAGCTGCCAGGGTCCACGAAAGACCTGTGGTCCGAAGAACCGTGGGATTCTCACCTCCTCTATCACGCTGCGGGGTTGGGCTCTTAAACTCATAACCTCACATCTTTGGACCTTGGCTCCTCTTTTATAAATTGATTGGATTAGATTATTGCTACATTCCTTCCCAGGTGTAACATTTCTGTGGGAAGAGTGATACTCCTGCACTGAGGTTAAAAATACAGGCTCTAGAATCTGATGCCAAGGTTCAATCCCTCGCTCCACCACTAAACTCCACGGCCTGGGGTGGGCGATTTTCTCTCTCTGGATCCCGACCTCCTCATTAGTAGGATGGAGATAACAACTGTCTCTGCCTCAGAGTCATTTGGGAGCACGAATGGGACGATGAAAGCATTTAGCGCACTTCGTGGCTCATACGATGAGCCTGATGAACGGGGGCTCTTCTGCTTGACTTGGTTGTGATATGAGTAGAGATCTTAGAGCACCTAGTTCTCTCCAGCTGCTCCAGCGATAAAGACCAAAGACAACAGGTATGAGGAAAGAGTGTTGGAGGTCCAGGGAATGTGTAGTGAGTACAAGAAGAATATCACAATTCCATGATTTTGGTGGTTTTTAACTAGAAAGAAAACCCTTTTGACCTGGTTTTGTAGAAAGGTAGGTTTTGGTACTAAATCCCACAAACTAATTAGTAAAAGAAGATTTATGTGAAAGAAAGATGGTTCTTAAAGTATAGATCTGAACGTGAAGAAGGCTTTCTTTTTGCCACGGGGTGTTCTTTGTAAAATCTGGACAACATTAAAGCATAACCGTTAACCAACAGAATAATCCAGACCCCAAGTACCTAGATGCTGTGCGGCCTGCTGGCCCGCTGGGTATTTCACTAAAAAGGGCCCTGTCCCCCATGCACACATAAAGGGGAACCAGGCCTGCCTGGCACCCCTGCCTGGCTGTATGCAGAGAGTCTCTGTTCTGACTGCCCGTTCCAGTTATGTGTCATGTATTACGAATGTCACTCCCACTCAAATGAGCAGAATACCCGACTCATCTCCTTAGCTGGTTCTTGAGAAAATTATATCTTGATGTGTTTCATAAGGGGTTAGAAAATTTTAAATCTCCAAATACCCAAACTAAAGACAGTGAGGAAAACATGCCAAATGAATACTGAAAAGTCTAGAATAGTTTGCAGTATTCTAGCAAGTTCTTTATGGGAGATTCCATGTTTTTTGCATCCAAAGCATTAAACAGGAATCAGCTTGATGGTGTGGCCACCTCATCTCTGACTTGGCAAATAGAAAATTCCCCGAGAGTATATGTCTGCTCTGTTGTTACCATGGCTGCACTTGCTCCCTCAGCCCTGGAACTGGGACCTTCTAGCTCAGCCCCCTTCCCCGCAGCCTAAGCACCAATGCTCACCCCTATGCAAATCATGCACATTTAGGAGTGCAGCCTCTAGTCCTTTCCCAGCCCCGAACAAGCCCAGTGATAGATTGTCCTCAGCTACGCTTCCCCAGAGGGGAATGCTCCTCTGTTTGCTCGCACCTGCCTCCTTGCCTTCAGTACTAAAGGAAGAAGTGTCCTCTTTTTCCAAGGTCTGTCTCCCCCTGACCTTGATACAAGCCCCTAATCTTCTCAGGTATGTTTCTCCATCATTGATGAACTCTCAGGTGTTTTTAATCTGTTTCTCTATGGGCTCGTTCTCCCAACAGATGCAGACACTTTCAGATCTCTCCCAACACAGAAAAATAAGACAGCATGCCTTCTTCAGTCTCCCTGAAAAGAATTTCTGATTGCTAAGTCCATTGGCCTCTCCAGGCTTCACCCCACTTGACCTCTTAGCATTTGGTTCAGCCAAGTGCTTCCTTGAAATAGTCTCTTCCCTGTGCTTCCAAAACTCCTCTCCCTCGACTGCCCTGCCACTTCTCCGATCCGTCTCTTTCTGTTCTCTTAGGTTGTCTTTTGTCTGCCCTCTTAAATGCTGGTGTTTCCTAGGGCCTCACTTGTGGGCCTCCCTCTTTTCCCTCTCTCTCTGGCAATCTCTTCTGCTTTGTGGCTGCAGCCACGACCTTGACACTAAAGACTCTCACATATTAAGGCCCAAATAACCCAGAAACCTATGGGGCGCCTGTGGGGTTCAGTCAGTTAATCATCTGACTCTTGATGTCAGCTCAGGTCATGAGCTTAGGGTTGTTATATTGGCTCTGTACTCAGCAGGGAGCCTGCATGAGATTCTCTCCCTCTCTCCCAGTATCCCTCTGTCTCTCCCCTGTTACCAAGGGGGCATGCTCTCTTTCACCCTCTCTCTCTCAAATAAATAAAATAAATAAATCTTTAAAACAAAGTTCCAGAAACCTTAAGAAAATTCTACCTGGAACATGTATAAGCATCTCAATGCAAAAATGTCAGAAAATACACTTAATCTCCCCAGCCCACCCCCAAAGAAGCTCCGTCATACATTTAAACCACTGGAGCAAAAATCCTAGGAACCAGATACACGAACCACTCCTTTTACATCTGCACTTCCTATCTAATTCTATCACAGTAATTATAGTACTTAATGGTATGTTTTCATTTAAACGTTTGTCTACCAGACCTGAAGTCATTAAAAATCATGATCTCATTTCCCTTTTGGAGAAGTTTTGTATGGTAGTAGGTCTGGAGCTGCCCAGCCTGAGGCCCTGTCCTTGCTCCGCCACTGACCTTACAAGCTTAGACAAGTCACTCCATTCTTGATGTCTTAGTTCCTTCATTTGCAAAATGGGTAGAATAATAGTGCCAACTCATATGGTGGTCATGAGAATGAAATGATTTATACCATAAAGCGCTTAGAAGAATGCGGGCGCCTGGGGGGCTCAGTCTGTCAGGTGTCCAACTCTTGGTATCGGCTCAAGTCATGACTTCAGGGTCATGAGATTGAGCCCCATGTCAGCTCTACACTGAGTGTAGAGTCTGCTTAAAACTCTCTCTCTGGGGGCGCCTGGGTGGCTCAGCGGGTTAAAGCCTCTGCCTTTGGTTCGGGTCATGATCCCAGAGTCCTGGGATCGAGCCCCGCATCGGGCTCTCTGCTCGGCGGGGAGCCTGCTTCCCTTCCTCTCTCTGCCTGCCTCTCTGCCTGCCTGTGATCTCTGTCTGTCAAATAAATGAATAAAATCTTAAAAAAAAAAAAAAAAAAACCTCTCTCTCTGTCTAAATAAATAAGTCTTTAAAAAATATACATATCATTTTTTTAAAAAGGCACTTAGGACAGTGCCGGGCCTCAGTAGCTCGGGCCTACTGTGGGTCACCAGCACTCAGCTCTGTGTCAGGCACATAGCCCTGACTGAACGCTGCCTGAGTAAGGGAAGGAACGAGAGGGAAGGTTATGGAAGCAGCTTATGCGATGGGCATTTTTATCCCTTTAATTCCAGGGGTTGGCAAGACCCCTGCAAGCTAAAAGTAGCTCCACCATATCGCCTCCAAGCCTGGTCTGGCTCCAGAGTAGGTCAGACTAAGAATAGGGCCTGCGGAGCTTGATCAGGAACACCAACCGGGGCACACCCTGTCCCTTCCAGACTTCTGCAGGCCTCCAGAGGCTGCTGCTCCTCCTGGCGTCTGGGACGCACCCCCCAGGAGAGACTCGGGGAAAGGGGACTAGAGAGTACCAAGTACCAAGTACCCTTAGCCGGAATCAGGCCAGTGTAGTTGGAAGTTGGCTGTCAACAGTGGTTCTTACTGGCTGAGGGCAGGTTCTCTGGATTTAGAAAAGAAAGTGAATTTCTTCAAGCCCTAACCAGTACAAGAAATCAGGAGTGAGTCCATACTTATTCCGAGAGACTGCTCACATGCAAATCCCCCAGTGTCATCTGTGGTTGCGCTGAAAGCCGCTCCCCTGGGCGCCATGTCTTCCCCGCGGTCCGTTCAGTCTGCTGCAGCGGGGGTCGGGGTGGGGGGGTGGTCCGGCTGCAACCCTGGGGCCCGCTATGCTACCCACGTGTTGTAGGAACTCGGTACAGGATGTGGCTTGAAAGAAGTGTGGGTTGGAGCACGACACCTGTCCTTCACAGCCCACGTGCTCTCAGACCCATGACGTAACCTGCACACTTAGCTCCCCTGTAAAGTGGTGATAGGACAAGGCCCTGCTTTTTGGAATGGTTCAGAAGAACTGGAACAGTGCCCGCCAAGCGCTTGTCCCGCAGGAAACCGCGGCGTCATCGTGGCCGATCGCTGACCCGCCCTGTTCGCTTTTTCCCGCTTCACAGGCGCGGTGCTGCCACTGGCCCTGGGCTTGGCCATCACGGCTCTGCTGCTCCTCATGGTTGCTTGCCGGCTGCGCCTGGTGAAACAGAGACTGAAGAAAGCTCGGCCCATCACGTCTGAGGAGTCCGACTACCTCATCAACGGGATGTATCTGTGACAAATGTCACCCGAGGGGCAGGGGGCGAGGCTGTTTTCCTCATCATTGATCTGTAGATTGGTTCTGCGTCTTTATAACCTCTTTGATCTGAACTGGGCTGAGAAAAATACCGAAACCCCAGAAAATTCTGCAAACCCCAAACCTGTTTTTATTTATTGTAGAAAGAGTTTCTTTGAGGAGTAAGTGAGATGTTTGGGAATTTAGAGAGGAATCCATATGAGTAAAGACTCACGAATCTAATTCTGATTTAGGCACGCTGTCCCTGAAAATAGCAATTTGCCCTGAGCCAAGGCAGAAAATTCAGGCTCTTCAGGGGCTGCCTTCGAATGACAATGCTAACCCTTTACTGTTCAGAAGCCGACCAGTGGCCCCCAGCAGCCCTGGACCACTTCACGCACAACTTTCTCTTGTTCGGAGGCCTTCCTGTTCCAGTGCCCTCCTTTCTTTTCTCCCCTTCAAAACCTACTTCTGAGAAAGTATCAAAGTGAATTTAGACCTCAGGCAGGAATGTCAAAATCGTAACCCTCGTGAACACGTCGAGGAGGCGTCAGGCCAGGTGGGGTGAGTTTATCCCAGGGCCTCTGACCTTAGGTCCCTTGGGTGGCTGTCGTCCCCTCAGGCTTGCCTTTGGGAGAAGACGCCCTGACTCTGGATTACAACTAGCTGTGACATGGTCCTGGAGGGAGATAGGAAACCATGGTGGCAGCAGGGGTGGAAGGTCAAACGTTTAACACAAACGTAGCCGAGGGCACAATGCCAAGAGGACCTAAATTAAGACTTTCTCGAATTTACTCGACACGGCCCGATAGTCCAGAACACAGCCGCTTTATTTATACAGTCACTGGTTTTCAACAGGAATCTGTGTTGATGGAAGAGAAAAATGCATTCAAATTGAAAAGCAGAACACTGAGTGGATTTCTAGGTGCGGTTTTGTAAAAATGTCCCATGTAGAAGTATCAGCAGGTTCTTGCATCTGGTGGAATAGGCCAGTTTTCTCCATCATTTGTTTAGCACTGTAAGATGTTAGGCCAGGCAATCTGTTCATGGCAGGCTCATGTTTTCCCAGAGCAGAAAGCAGCCTTGCACAAATTCTTCTTTACAGAAAACTGGCATCTAGCTTAGCATCTTCTCCCTTTAGTCTGTAGGATTTTAAAGGCGAATTATTCCCATCATCACTTCATGACGGGATTATACGCCTCCTAGAAATCCTCCTCCTGAGAGGACTCTGTCGTGTGGTGCCTGTCTACACTCCCATATTACTATTTATATAACATGGCTTATCAGAAGGGGCAAATCTTCTAAAATACTTGAATCAAAACTGTAGAACACTTTATTTTCAGACTGAACCTGAGGTAAGTTGTCCCTTTTGCAAAGGGCTTAATATGGGTCAGAAATATAAGAGAGTACATTAATAAATGGAAAATTAGTTCTAGAAAAAACAAAGAAATTGGTTACTTTCATTTCCCAAGAGGTCCATGCATTTTGTTGAATGTTTAGAATTGAGCAAAGATTTAATGTTCTCCTCAGGGGCAGACTGGAGAAATGACCGTGTGAATGACCTTAGGATATCTGTACTCTCTGTGACGCTTTGCAGTTTGCTTTTCTAGAGAAAGGGTGTCACCTATAGCCATACCCAATAAAATAAAAACTGATAAGGCATTCATCTTTCGGCACATCTTTTTATACATGAAGAAATTAAACACGGTTTAGCATTGCTATGGTGTTGAAATACTTGAGAAAAGATGTCCACCTCCATGTGTACAATATCCCTTTAATAAATTGTATTTTATTCTTACGCCTTTCTAAATAACCTTTTAATCTAATCATCATCGTAAGTTGCTTTTACTGAGCTGTTACTATATTACCTGGATTTAATCATATCAACCTTATCTTGCAAAGGGGGAAATTAAGAATTAAAGAAGAAGAATCAAGGTCTACAAAATAGTTATATTGTCAGATGAACTGAATGGGACTTCTAAAAGTCACCTTCCCTGTATCTGATTGGAGGAGTTTTGCATCTAAGATAATTTAAAAATAATTTCAAAGAGAAGATTGTCCACTACTTATTGCTCAAACATGTTCTTGTGTCTCATGTTTCTTTTCCTGAGAGAGAAAAGGCCCACGTAAGCCATCTTTCAGAAAATGTACAGCTGGGCCCCTGGATGGCTCCGTTGGTTAAGTGACTGCCCTTCTGTTCAGGTCATGATCCCGGAATCCCAGGATCGAGTCCCGTCCCACTGGGCTCCCTGCTCAGTGGGGAGTTTGCTTCTCCCCTGGACCTCCCCCATCTCATGCTCTCTCTCTCTCTCTCTCACACACACACACTCTCTCAAATAAATAAAACCTTAAAAAAGAAAAAAAGAAACCATACAGCTTCTTTGCTCTAATTCTCAGTACAAGTAGACAATAGCCGTCACCATCCCTCCCCAAGCATTTGAACGTCTCCAGTCGCTTGAGGATCAGATTTGTTCTCTTCCACGGGAAGATGACAGAAGGCCTCATCTTTCTCCTACTGCCTTTTCATCATCTGTGATTTGGCTCCACCATTCACTTTCACAATCAGTGACCCTCCTCAGCCACTGATGGCTGTTTCAAGTTTTCTTCACTGTTTTCCCGCAACCCAGACGCAGAGATGCAGATTTCTATTCTTCAGTTTGGGGGTTTGAGGCAGACCTTGCTGATGATTTCCCTGAACGTCACGTATAGAAACGTACTGCGGTGTGGTGTGCCCAGGAGCCCAGGCACCGTCTGTGTCCTCTCCTGTTCTGCCCACATCGCAGCGATGATGCCACGTAACAGAAGCTTCCAAGCTTCTGAGATGGTCATTTGGGGTCTCTGTTAAGTTATACTGTCCCCAAGTTCCTGTTTAGGGATTGCGCCACTTTGTTCCTATCATAGTGACTTCAGTTACTTTTCTTTTCTGGACTCCAGGTTTTCTGCAACTGACGACATTAAAACTGAATGGTAATTCTAATGAAAAACTGCCCGCACCATACAGAAAGAGGGAAAAGCCTCGCCGGCAGTTTGCTCCTCACAAATGTTCTCATCTCCCTGGCTTTTTAAGCAATTGTGTGGCTTTTTCTTGGGCACTGGCCGCATTTTTCTGAGCTCTCTGGTCTTGCTCAATTCTAGAATCCTAAATAAAGTGCATATTTCATGGCTATTTGAACAGCAAACAGTTTTTTGGGTTTTTTTTGGTTAAATATAAAACCACCAAGGATGAAAATAAGGTTAGACACATGGAAACCCAAATGTGTCCACAGATGAACTGGTTAGAACCAAGCCTTCTCCCTTTGCTTCACGTACGTCTCTCAGTGTGTCTTCATTCCTACTCATTTTAATTCTCCCATCACCTCAGCTCTGAGTCTTGGATGTGAGCTATCACACTGTAAATTGGAAAGAGATCAACATACAATATCATTCAGTTTAAAGATATTTCTATACAGTCATTTCAGAACTTAGGAAACTTCTAAAAACACACTTTTTAAAATTTTTTAAGTTTTATTTATTTAAGTAATCTCAACACCCTTTCTGGGGCTCAAACTCACAGCCCCAAGACCAAGAGTCACATGCTCTTCTGACTGAGCCAGCCAGGAGCCCCTCAAAACACATTTTAAAATTACTTTAACTTTTACTGAAAAGCTTAGGGAAAATTGTATTGAGTATATGGACTTAAAAAAAAGTTGTTATTTTCATTCATCATCATTTTGTAAGACTGAAGACCCAAAATTCCAAATAAATCAAAAAGCTATGTTCTCATATTTAAACAAAGCAGTTTCACAGATAAAAACAGATTGAGAAAAATCTGTGTAATCTAGAGATGTGTGTATAGAAGAACGAGGAAATGAGAAAGAACCATGAGCTGTGCAATCTGAGATCATGCCTTCACTGTTGTTTACTGTTGAGGGGCGATAGTTTGATTCTCCTTTACATCCCCACTTGTACCTTCCGGCCTACTTGATGCAAAACTGTTCCCTACAAGCTAATTGCATACAGCAGCCAAGATCCTAAAGTATTTTTCCCCAGCAAATATCCTTTTTAATAAATTATTTACAACTGACACAATTGTGTTAATGTGGAAATCCTGCAGGCTTTCATCTATAATATAATTTGTAAGCTAAATCTTGACAGGATTATCACCAAAAAACATAAATAAATGGGGCCGGTAAAAAAAAAAAAAAAAAAATCGCTCCCTGTGATGTGATCCTTTGGCAGGGGGTCGGGGGTGTTGCACAGTGATGTGTCTGGGGCGTGGGAATTCAAATATAAATGTCCTCAGCTGCCCTAGGCCTCTGGGTTGCTGCCCTCTCATATTTAAAATGTCTTCAGTGTTGGAATCACCTGCCCTTTGAACAAAAAAGTATTCCTCTCGTGATGCCTATCCTATTAGGACACTCCGGGTAAGAATGAGTCCTTCGGCTCCAGCAGCCCTCGGCTGTCATGTCAGGAAAGGAACAAAGGGGAAAAGAGAAGAGAGGGATTCCCTGACTCCAGATAGCATCTATGGGAACTAAAAGTCAGATGTTCTCTTCCCCCAAGCAAGGGAGCACTCCGTAGAGTCCTGGCCCAGACCACACAGTTACTAAGGTGAAGTAACACCTATTACAGGGGAGGGGAAGGAAGTTAACACCTACTATTAGAGCACTGGTAGATGGGTTAAAGATAAGGAAACTCTAGGACTTGCTTCATTTTTATGATATAACAGTACACATGCAAACTCCTCAGGCACGTGGCCCAGCCAGTTTTCTTCATGCAGGATTTTCTTACCGGCCATCTATTTCGGCCACCCTTTTAAACACATGGGGACGAAACAGAGTTATCTTCCTGAAAAATGGGAGGAGAAATCAAGAGAAATGAAACTGAATTCTGATAAGACACTTCTGTTTACTTGTGTAGTTCTCTAAAGAACTAAGTTGTAGGAGGAAGTGATGATTTATACCCTCTAAAAATTTTAGCACTTACCTAAGTTATTGGCCTTTTGAACCCCATTTAGAACACTTAAAAAATTACCCGTTTGCTATTTCATTTACATTAGTATTCAATGACCATTGTCATATGAGCTCTTTTCATGCCGTACCAAACCGCTGGGAAATTTGTTAACATTGAGCTGAAAACCAGAAACACCTCCCTCTCTGATGAGGGAGGAGCTCTACTTCTTCGTTGACAATCTGATGCTAAGAATGGCTTCAAAAAACTCATGAGCATTAGATTATTACTAAAACATGTTATCCTGTGGAATTTTTGGGACGCCTGGGAGGCTCAGTCGGTTAAGCGTCTGCCTTCCGCTCAGGTCACAATCCCAGGGTCCTGGGATCGAGTCCCGCTTTGGGAATCCTTGCTCAGCGGGGAGCCTGATTCTTCTCCCTCCACTTGCCTTTCCCTCTGCCTGCTGCTCCTCCCTGGTTGTGCTCTCTCACTCTGACGAATAAATAAAATCTTTTTAAAAAATAAAATAAAAATGGAATTTTTAAGATGCTTTGGGATAGATACATTATAGTCAAAAAGTGTAATCGAGGGGTGCCTGGGTGGCTCAGTTATGAAGCATCTGCCTTCAGCTCAGGTTATGATCCCAGGGTCCTGGGATTGAGCCCTGAGCCCCCATTTCAATCCCTGCTCAGCAAGAGGCCTGCTTCTACCTTCCCATTCCCTGCTGCTTGTGTTCTCTCTCTTGCTGTCTCTCTGCCAAGTAAATAAATAAAATCTTAAAGAAAAAAAAGTGTAATTGACTTTTTTTGAGCAATGGTGGTTTTCAAAAATCAGGGCAATGGAATTCTAAATATTTGCACAATGTTAATGTATTGTTTTCCTAAAATGTCATTTTTTTCCCTTAAGTTACCGATTGGAAAATAGTTGAAACGCTCATTAGAAACTGGAATTCTTGGGGTGGTTGGGTGGCTCAGTTGGTTAAGTGTCTGCCTTCAGCTCAGGTCATGATCCCACAGTTCTGGGATTGAGCCCTGCATGGAGCCCCCTGCTTAGCGGGAAGCCTGCTTCTCCCTCTCCTACTCCCCCTGCTTGTGTTCCCTCTCTCTCTGTCTCTCTGCCAAATAAATAAACCAAATCTCAAAAAAGAAAAAAAAAAAAGAAACTGGAATTCTTAATTTTATTCTTAAGCAGGAGCTAGATTTGCCCTTTAATAAAATCAAATCTGTAAAAACACCTTATTTCAATAGGATCTCATAAAACTGGAACTTTAAGAAATATTTTCAGTGTCCTCTTTATACTGTGTGAAGGAATCATTTCTATGAAGAAAAAACAGCATGCTAAAATATTATAGAGATTGTGAATACTACAGATTAAAGAGATATTTCTTATCTCTGACCAGCACATCTATAAATACAGCTCCCTTAACAAGAACGTTCTTTGACCTAGTTAAAATTCGTTATTGCTATCTCGGCCACTTATTGATGCTCCCTTAAAATCCATTCCTGTTTCTTCAACACTTAAAAATTTTAATTCACAAAAGCGTAGAACCCAACAGTAACCGTGGCGTGGCATTTGTCTATACCCATCAGGTGGCACTTGGCCCTACTGTGTTTATAAACTGCCCCCTCGGACGGATTGTAAACTCCTTCAGAGTAAGCACTTCTTCTCACCCCAAGACCTAATATAAGGGATTTACAAATAATAAGATGTTGGCAATGGCTATGAAGGATATAGACTAGTGAATAAGTTTAAGAATCAATTTAAGACCTAAAGAAAACCTAACCTTTGAAACTACCTCAAGTGACACTGAGTCCTGCCCCCAGAAGCAGCACCAACAGCAGCAGACTGAAGCCAGCAGGGAACTGAAACTCCCAAGTTTGAGCCGCCAGCGGATGCTGGTTTCTTATGTCTGACATCTTGCCCAAGAAGAGACACCAGTGAAAAGATGTGTGCGTAAAAAAACATTTTTAAATAAATAAAGCTTAAGACTTTAAGAGGTGGCAGAGAGGTGCCTCACACTAAGGACAGAATCCTACACATCTGCACAAAGGAGGGGGGCTGCTTTCCTGGGAGTACTAGTTCTACTAGATCTAGTTTATATTTTTCTCAAGTTCTAGAACTCCTAGAAAGCCTAAGATCCTTTAATAAAAGGTTTAAGACCACAATATTTAAACAAGATCCCAAAGTGCTACTGCCCTCGTAGAAACTCATTTTCCAGTCATTATATTAATAAATCTATTTATAGATGAGAAATGGGTTTTGGTACATGTATCCTTGACCCGGTTGTTCCCTGACACAAAGTCAGTTCATTCACTCACTCATTCAGCATTTGCTGTTCCTCTACAAGAGGGCAAGGCCTATGTCGGGCAGAGAAGAAAGATGTAATCCTTGCATAGTCACAGTCTACAAACGCACAGCCGGATCAATGTTACCAATCCAGGCTACTCCAATTGCGTAAAACAGGGCATCAGAGACACAACTCTCTCTGTGAGCTCAGTGAGCATTCCGTATCTGGTGGACACGTGGTTCTTTCTTCTGTATTCAAACACCACCCACGCGTCTTTTACTTTTAACTTTATTTGGCAAAGCAGCACTGCATAAACTGTTCAGTGACCGGGCCCCAGCTTATACAGCATGGTAAATTCATATACATTATCAGCAGCAAATTAGAAACAGAAAAAACGATACTGAGCTACAAGTCTCCTAAAACTGTAAAGAGGGAAAGGAAGAACTATGTTAGTTACGTCCAATCTGAACAGCTAAGTGTGGTAAAGGACATCACCTGCCATCTTCTCAAGTCTTAATATTTACAAATGCTTAGTTTTAAGGTAACAAAGCAGCTGATTGTATCTACAACATGCTACTCTACGACACCACATCCAAAGCTTTAAAAAGGAAGCTCATCTCTATTTTCTTAGTGGCAGCTAACAGACATCCAAAAACCAGGAATCTGAACTTGTGAACGGTGGTGTTACCTGATATGCACAAGAGCATTTTGATAAATTAATATCGAAACAGAATTAAGTGTCTAAGAAAAACCACTCCTCGAAATTAATTCACAAACTAAGTCTTCCATTTAGTGGAACCCCGTCTTTTAATATTTTAAAGTAAAATGTGGGCGTGTTAAAGTAATAATACACAAATTTATACTCTGCTTCGTTCTTTCACCAACTCGGCTTCTGTGCCTCTTTGAAGAACTAGAAACCCTACAAAACCACACATTTTCATGCTGAAAATAATAGTGTAACGAAGTCCAAAACAAGCTGTGATGCTGTTGGTTTTCAAAAAGCTCTGAGGACTGAGATGAGCAATCCACTGTAATATTATATACTGGTCAAGCTGATGGCGCTTTTACAGTTCATCCCTGGGGGTAAAAAGAGAAATATGTAAGTAGGCGTTACGTACTACAAAATTTGGCTTTCTAATAATTTAGATACAATTAGTAAGTAAATAAAAACACACCCATCCCCAAGCATTTAAAAAAAAAAAAAAAAAAGCAAACAGCCCCAAGTCAAAGCAAAAATGGAAGTCAGCCATCCGAACATCTCTCATGCTACTCCAGAATGAAATATGAGACCTGAAGGCCCTGGAGTCATTAGTTTTTGCTCTGAAGGTACCTTTCTTCCTCCAAGGCCAAAAATTCAAAGAAATTTTAACTTTTAGACCTAGGATCTTGCTAATACTACTTATCATAAAATGGTGATGGGTATTTAGAGTTGGAATCATTTTTTTAGTTACATTGACAAAACTGGACAAAAATGTGGTCTTTTGCTTAGACTATCTGCTAACAAATGCTGAGTGGGTCATTCTCAACCCAAACTCTGGGAGAAAAAGCATCCTGTGTAGATGGCATCTGTCAGCTGATTTCAGAAGGCAGTTTCTCAGCTCTAAAGGAAACCACTCCCTCAGCCGGGTGCAGCACTGTACCAGCCAGTGCCAGCGAGGGAAGGAAGGAAGGAAGGATGCAGCCGCAAGTGCATGGCATGTAAATTATACCTCATTAAAGCTGTTAAAAGTAAAAAAATAAAGCTACCAAAAGAGCCAAAAAGCTTCATATTTCAGGATAATCTGAGTGACAAAAACATTGTTCAACACTCAACACTCAGGGGTGAAGAATTACGATGTTTACAACTAAATCTCAAATGATTTCAAGAAAAAATATGACCTGTGTGTATATAGAGAGAGAAAGAGGGAGCAAGAAAGCATATGTGGAAAAATGTTAACAACTGGTAACTCTGGATGAAGAGATTCAGGAAGTCTTCATACTATTCTTACAATCTGTCTGTAATAAAAATTAAAAAGTTTTTTAAAAGTTAAAATAAGTTTGAAGGGAAAATAAAGAACTAAGATTTTCCAGGTACGTGGTGAATTAAGGGACTATAAGATAATATGCTTCTTTTTAAAAACTGAATTTTGTAAATTGTGTGAGAAATTATTTTAAAGATTATGTTTCCCATAAGCTGCCACTGTTATGGAGGACTGGATTATCTGTTTAATGACAAATTACCAGTTCTGGTTGCTCTTAATATATTCTTCTAAATAATTTAAGCACTATAATTCTCATAGAATAGATTTTACTTAAATTCATGCAAGCATTAAAATATTTAATCTACAAAGAGTTCATTTGCAAAGTGCTCTATTCATAAATTCATTTGTGCTTTTTAAAATGTGAATTGAAGATACTATTGTTTTTGTAAAATAATATACCATATTTGACTTGCCTATTGCAAGGCATTAAGGATATTATAAATAAATATCCTTACTGCCCAACAACACAGTACAAACATTTCCAAATATCCTCTTCAATTAAAAAAATTTTTTTAAAAAGGAAAATGATAGAAACTCTCAATAAACTGGGTAGAGAGGAAACGTACCTCAACATAATAAAGGCCATATATGACAAGCCCACAGCTAACATCATACTCAGTGGTGAAAAGCTGAAAGCTTTTCCTCTAAGATCAGGAACAAGACAAGGATGCCCACTCTCGCCACTTTTATTCAACATAGCACTGGAAATCCTAGCCAGAGCAATTAGGCAAGAAAAAGAAATAAAAGGCATCAAAATCGGAAAGAAAGAAGTAAAACTATCTCTTTTTGCAGACAACATGTTATATATAGAAAACCCTAAAAACCACAAAAAAAGTCAAAACTAATAAACTAATTCAATAAAGTTGCAGGAAACAAAATCAGTATACAGAATTCAGTTGTGTTTCTATACACCAATAATGAACTATCAGAAAGAGAAATTAAGAAAACAATCCCATTTATAATTGCATCAGAAAAGAATACAATGCCTAAAATAAATTTAAACAAGGTGAAAGATCTGTACACTGAAAAGTATAAGACATTAATGGAAGACACAATGCTTTTGGATTGGAAGAATGAATACTTTTAAAATACCCATACTACCCAAAGCAATCTACTGATTCAATGTAATCCACATCAAAATCCCAACAGCATTTTTCACAGAAACAGAACAACCCTAAAATTTGTATAGAACCATAAAAGGCCCCAAAGAGCCAAAGCAATCTCTAGAAAGAACAAAGCTGGAGGTATCACTCTTTCTGATTTCAAACTATATTATAAAACTCTAATAATCAAAACAGTATGGCAGTACCATAAAAAGAGATACATGGGTCAGTGAAACAGAATAGAGGGCCCAGAAATAAACCCACACATATATAGGCAATTAATTACAGAGCCAAGAACATACAGTGGGGAAAAGATAGTGTCTTCAGTAAATGGTGCTGGGAAAACTAGAAAGCCACATGCAAAAGAATGAAACTGGATGGCCATCTAACACCACACACACAAAAAATCAACTCAAAATGGATTAAAGACTTGAATGTAAGACCTCAAACCATAAAACAAAACTTAATGTGGTAATTATCTTGTAGTATATACATATATCAGATCACTATATTGTACGTGTAAAAGTAATATAATTCTATGTCAATTATATCTCAATAAAACTGGAGGAAAATCATATTGTAAGAAAGCTAACAGTGTGCGACAATGTTGATAACACTTAATAAAATGGAAAAAGGATATTACAATATAATGGTACTATATGATCTCAAGATTAAAAAAAGATATATAAAGAACTATGGACAAAAGAGTAAAAAAAAATATCAAAATGTTAGTAGTGGTTATCTCTAGGTTCTGGGACTGTCGGTGATTTTTATTTCATCCTTTGTACTTCTAAAAATTTTTACATTACAAATGTATTATTTTGGTAGTCAGAAACAGTATTATTAAAAACAAAGAAAATGTACAGCACTAAAAAAAAAAAGAAAAAAGAAGTTAAGTCTATAGATCTAAATTTTAACATTTAGGGTGCCAAGGAAAACCAAAAATTTGACATTTGGCAAAGAAAACCAAAAATTTGACATTTCTTGTAAATGTCACATCCTAATACTCCAAAATCTATATAACTTTCAAGTCATTTACTTTTCCACTTAATATTCCATATTTTACATAACTATCATCATCTGATTTACATGTGTAGATCACTGACAATAAAAAGTATTATGTCCTAAATTTCTAGAAGGTCTCTTTATTATATATGTGCTAAACATATTCGTTAGGTTAATAACTATATATTATTTTATTATATAATGTACAATTATATATAACTTATTTATTAGGTTAATAACTCTAACCTACTAACATTAGTATTATATATTCTTTATCAAGAACGAGAAGATGCCACCAAGAAACAACAATCAAAATCCATGAATGGGTTCTACTTAATGGGATTTCTGAGATAATAAAGCAAATTATATAAAGCATTATGAAAGACATAAAAAGAATTCCAAAAGCAACAACATGTATCCCTGCCTTTAAGATGCAAAATGTCATAATGCTGTAATGTATGTAAAGAAATTAAAAAGGGACAATCTAGAACAATATGACTACAGGAACAATTGGATACCCTAGGACCTACCCCATCAATCTTAGAAATGCCCAACCAATTCATAACTTGTTTTTCATGTGCATATGGCACTTTGAGATGACACTGATAACCAAAGCACTTACAGAATGAGAATCCAGAAACATTACTCAGTTTCACAAACCAGAGATGGACTTATTCCATTGACTCTTGTGACCATTAAAAACAAAAAACTTGGGGCGCCTGGGTGGCTCAGTGGGTTAAAGCCTCTGCCTTCGGCTCGGGTCATGATCCCAGGGTCCTGGGATCGAGCCCCGCATCGGGCTCTCTGCTCCATGGGGAGCCTGCTTCCTCCTCTCTCTCTCTCTGCCTGCCTCTCTGCCTGCTTGTGATCTCTGTCTGTCAAATAAATAAATAAAATCTTAAAAAAAAAAAAAAACTTACCAGATGATGAACAAAATATTTCTACATATACTTATGTAAAATAAAATACAAATTTAAAAAAATATGAAGAGTTTACGAAGCAACTAATACAACTACTACACATTCATAGTCATGAACAGAATACCACAGGTTCTAGGTCTATGGCTCATATATCTGATGTTGTCTCCCCTTTTATGACTCCACCAAAATTATGTGACATTTTTCGACGTATACAGAAATGTAAGTCTACATTCAGGCTTTGGGCTTTATTTGGCATGAGAACTCGGCATGTCCACTGGGGCATATTTCCCCCAGATAGTTCCTACCACCCCTCCTCAGCAAAGATTGGATCTCACCCTCAGGGGGCATGGCAACTAGCTCTGGATTCCCCAGGAAGAGAAGGATGGAAGGCTGGTGAAAAGCAAGAGAAGGTCCAGAAGCAAGCATGGGATGCGCTGTTAAATTAATCCTGAAGAAAATCTGAAAGAACAGAGATCACTTAACCTGGCAATAAAACGGACTAGGAGCTTTTGAGATCGTAATTCCCAGATGTAGGCTGGACACTGAAAAAATGGTAAGTGACTCTTTTCAACCCCATTCTATCCTTACTACCACTGCCTTAATTCAGGCCACCACCATTTCACCCTTAACTTGCTACAACCACATTCTGTTTCTAAAAGTCATTCTGCCCCCTTCCAATCTACTCTCTATACCACAGCCAAAGTCATCTTTCTGAAATATAATTCTGATTACTTCACTGTCTGGCTTCAACACAATTGCTCCCTTCTAAACACACTACACTCTAATTGCCTGTTTGTTTTCTGTAGATTTTTTGGGGGGATCTCCCATGTGACTATAAGTTCCACAAGAATGGTTAGTTTCAAATTCTCAGCTAAGTAACCATGGCCCTAGTACAGTCCCTGATCTCAGTGAGTTCCAGGAAAATTGTTTCCTCCCCTTATAGCCTATCATGGTAGGTTCCTGGACCCTGGGTATGTCAATGTCTTTTCCAGATTCCCATAACCTTTCCCACATTTCTTTGAACGACCCTTCACTAAAATCGTTTCAAATCCAAGCTGAGCATACCTTCTGTTCTGGACCCTGACAGTCTAAGAATACAAAAAGAAGTAGCATATTAATGGTCTCTTTTGATTTTAAGTAACTGTTGTTGCTTTACCCTTTGAAACACCCTATTTTCTAGTAATTTCTTTTAGTACAAAAGATACTTAATGTGGCAGTTGTTTTTTCCAATTTTGTTTTCAGATTTTGTTTCACCTATACATTCTTTAAACCTGTATTCTTTAAATGTAGAGATTTACAATTAAGTAACTGATCATCTTTGGGGACAGCTAGATGGCCCAGCTGGTAGAGCAAGCGACTCTTGATCTCAGGGTCATGAATGCAAGCCCCACAGTGGGCACAGAGCTTACTTAAAACAAAACAAAAAAGACCCACTACATCTTTGGATGTAGGAAAATGTGTCTGAACAAACAGAAAATTTACAACAGAATTTGGAATTCCTCCTGGTACAATTAGAGAAAAGTTTCCAGTGATACATATGTGTAAAATTGCTCAATCTTTTAAAAAGTTGAAAACCAAAAAGAAAAACAAGCATATATATTTAAATATTTGGTAAATGACTAAATATATTTGGTAAATGACTTTTCCATAAATTTAAAAATTATTCTAAATTTAATACAAAGAGTTTAGTTTTATAAGGGGTGGATACAGGTGTTGTGGAAACCTAGAGCTTTTATGACCTGGGAAGGGGGGGAACCTCTCCATGAAGGGAAAAAAAGGACTAAAAACAAGACTGGCTGGGAGGCCCCTTAGCATGTGAAGGTCCTGAGGCTTAAGTTTCATTTGCTTCATGCTAAATCCACGTCTGGTTATAAAAACAAAATACCATTGTAATTCCTTCATCATCAAACTACAAGGGAATGTTCAATACTAGTATTCACTGTATATAAAAAGAAAACTTTTTGGACACATGGGTGGCTCAGTGGGTTAAAGCCTCTGCCTTCAGCTCGGGTCATGATCCCAGGGTCCTGGGATAGAGCCCCACATTGGGCTCTCATCGGGGGAGCCTGCTTCCCCCTCTCTCTCTGCCTGTCTCTCTGCCTACTTGTGATCTTTGTCTGTCAAATAAATAAATAAAATCTTTAAAAAAAAAAAAAGAAAAGAAAAGAAAACTTTTCAATGCTTAATGAAAATCTGAACTCTCACTTGATGTCAAATTTTGGTAAGTTCACTGTATATTTGCCCCTTTTACACAACAGCAACTATACAATTATGTAACAACATAACCATACTAGAAGCAAATCAAGGAAGGCTGTAATAGTTGTTAATAACTATATGATTTTAACTGACAGGACTCATGGCTTTTTAATTTTTTTTTTAAAGAAGTGGCTGTGTTCCAGGTTAGAATTCAAAGAAAATAGCTAAATCCACATTATGTGAAGAATAAAGCAATTCCTAGTCAGATATCCCAGAAATGGCCAATCAGAGTGAAAAGAAAAATTAAGTTAGATTCATTATCATTTTTGCAATTAAACATTCAAAGGTATCTTTCCTCTTTCCAAAAAAAAAAAAAAAAAAAAATTAAGAAGTCTATGAAACTTATAATTACCATTTTACTCTTTAAAAAAATAATTATCTTAAAATAAGTACCTCTGTCAAATAAAGATCCTAAAACAAGGAAACTTGTAAAGTCTTTCTTATTCTGACACTGAATTTTAAATAGTCTTAGCTAGTGCCATCCTTACTTATTGTTCTCACTCCTTCCCACTGAAGAAACAGGGAGGGGAAGGGAGAAGAAGGAGAGAGGAAGGAGAGAAACCTTGGCTTTAGACAAAATACTCTGATAATGCTGAGACATAAAACACAAGGAGGCATTACAATGAGCCATGCTGTGCTGACGATTATGCTGCATGCTGTTGGCCCTTTGGGTGGGTTTGTGAGACCTGGGCACTGTGCTGGCTTTGCACTCACAGAATCCACTCCCCTCCCCAGGAATTCAGAGTGGCTTCAGAATGGGCTGGCCAGTTTTATAGACTGGCGAGAGGTTTATTCCTTATAGCGGCTCTGAAACAGGAGCTGAATGTAAAACAGGCACAGGTTGTTAGACAGGAATGTCAATGAACCTGATTGAAAGAGAGAAAGCAAAGCAAGCTGAGAGGAAGAATGTCCTCTCTGGGATTCTGACACCTTTGAAAACTGGGACAAGAGTATCTTTTCCCTTATTTTTCTTTGTAACAATGGTTCAATAGGGTATGAACAAGGCAGGAAAGGATGGCCCCTTCTCTTCAGACCAAAGCCTTTGTTTCCATGACCACAGAGCAGCTACAAAAATGATTTGTGAATACAGAAACAGAATAGCTGATAATAAAATATCCTTAGAAAGTTCTGAACTGTGGCTAAATGCCTCTTTAAAAAAAAAAAAAAAGGAAAAAAAAAAAACCCCACCTTTGTGCCAACCAAGTCTCACCCCCCTTTCCCAAAGATATGAGTTAAACCAAAAGAAGGGCAGACTCATGCAAAATTTTTCTAGATTTTTAATGTAGTGAATTTCTGATGTTAAAATGGAATAGCATAAAGGTGACAACCAAAAAAAGCAGCTCTTGTGGTCTAATGTCTTAGAATCCACACCCTTCACCTTGCATGTGTGGAAGAAGAAAGAGCAGAAGATAAAATCACTTCCACCTGGACCATTGCTTCTCTTTATCTGTTAAAGGCACGTATATCACTCCCATCAGGGGTTTCATCTTGACACTGCCGTCCTGTAGCTTGTCGTACTGCTCCAACATCTGGTTTCCACCTGCGGGACCAACTGGCAATATCAACCTCCCACCAGGCTTTAACTGGTCTATCAGCTGAAAAGAAGAAGGAAAAGAAAAAGACATGCACACCAAGTTACAAATTTTATATTGAGAGTCATTTTGCATCACCACAAACAACTTCCAGTGTCTGGGAGCAGAAAGCAGAAATGCACTTCATTTAGTATATCCATACTTTGATTGTTAAATTTATTACTCAAATCACTACCTATTCATTTACCTATAGACCTCCTCTACTAAACTACAAGTTCTCTGACAAGAGGGACTGTGATGTTATTCATCTTTGTGCGCCTGGTACCTAACATGGTACGTGGTACAACTGGAGGGCTCAGTATGAGCTAACCATATAATGTAGAGCTAGCCTCTTCAGAAGACCAAAGGCAAAGCAGAACATTTCAATGCCCGTACCCCTGTTTTGAATCTTTGTGGTCTGGAGTGGAGAAGGGAGCAGGGGACTGCAAAAATCAGCAAGGAGTCCCTATCCTGTCACTGTAGAATTTAGGGCATCACTGACCAAAAAATAAGGGAACCTCGGTTTTATGACTGAAGTTAAGAATACTGGCACCATGACAAAGGAAGGTAGAGCTGGAGTTCCTATAGCATCAGACTGAAGACACCCTTGTCAATGAAAAACCAAGACTACTCAGTGAAAGCCCTTCTGGTCAGAAAACTTTCAGGTCATATGTTAACATTTGAATATGGCCTTAGTAATGACTACTTATCAAACCCTGTAAGGGAGAAACTTTACTTTGGATGGGATTATCCCATAAAAGTGGGTCCTCAATGAAAATTTCAGTTGTCAGCAAGCCTATCTTATTTTTCCCATTTTAATTTTTACTCAAGTAATTCTTACAAGTATTCCTGGAGTTGTTTCTCTAAATGTCAAGGTTTACGATAAAATGAAGGAGACTTGCCCCCTAAATCCAGTCATTTTAAATATTTTAAATGCTTTTGGCTGGGTCATCAGTATTTACTTTTTTGTAGTGATTATTTCTAAAGCATGCCTTTCATCTTTTTCATTAACATATAACTGACATATAACATTATGTTAGTTTTAGGTGTATGACATATGGTTTGATAATATGTATATACCGCAAAATGATTACAAGTTTAATTAACAACCATCACCACAGATAGTTACAATTTTTTCTTTGTGATGAAGAGAACTTTCAAGACCTACTCACTCAGCAACTGTCAAATACACAATACAGTGTTGTTACCTACAGTCACCATACTGTAGTCTTTATGTTCTTATTTCAAATTATATGCTAGGTGAGGCCTGAGCTCTTATTCTGCTCCTTTCTCCTTTCCTCAATCCAACCAATATCATAATTTTTTAAAACCACTTTCAATTATGACTGTAAACATAATTTGCAGCTGAGCCAAGAGGTATCCAATGTCTGTTTCCTTTCTTAGACAACAGTTGTTTATCCTGCACTTAGAAACTGAAGCTCTTTCGGGGCATCTGGCTGGCTCATTAGAAGAGCACAACTCTTGATCTTAGGGCTGTGAGTTCAAGCCCCACACTGGGTGCAGAGATTACTTTAAAAGAAAAATGAATAAACTTTAAAAAAAAATGCAGCTCTTTCTTTTTTCACTCAATTTTTTGGGTAACTTTTTCTAAATATTTGTACCCTCCAACTTCTTCTCAATAAGATCTTCACAGTCAAACCTATCTAATTAGTGTTTTTTTCCCCCAAGATTTTATTTGTTTGTTTATTTATTTACTTACTTGACAGAAACAGAGAGAGAGAAAGAGCACACAAGCAGGGGGAGCAGTGGAGGAGGGAGGAGGAGAAGCTCGATGAGGGGCTTGATCCCAGGACACTGAGATCATGACCTGAGTCGAAGGCAGATGCTTAATTGACTGAGCCACCCATGCGCCCCTAATTAGTGTTCTGTTGTTCTTTGGTAGCTTCAAGTGCCTTCCTCCTCCAGTTCCAAATCTGGGCTGGTTAATCCCCAGCCCCACTGCACAACTCTCATCAGGAAAGGTCCCTTCTAACGCTGGGGACTCTTCATCATCTCTCTCCTGAGCCAGCTGTTCAACTTGCCCAGATTCCAGGGCTTGCTCTTTCTGGTTTTCCCTACCATCTCTCTCCTCCCTCATTTTTAAAAAAGATTTTATTTATTTATTTGACAAAGAGGGACACAGCAAGAGAGGGAACACAAGGGAGGGACACAGCAAGAGAGGGAACACAAGCAGGGGGAGTAAGAGAGGGAGAAGCCGGCTTCTTGCCCCTGAGCAAGGAGGCCGATGTGGGGCTCAATCCCAGGATCCTGGGATCATGACCTGAGCCGAAGGCAAATGCCTAATGACTGAACCACCCAGGTGTCCCTATTCCCCCTCATTTTTTGGCATTAAAACAATTCCTTTAGAAGTATTCCGAAATAGTGCATGGAGTATTTTAAAAGAGAGAGACTGAGATTTGCAAATCTAAAACTATATTTAATGTATTTGACAATATGTGTGGGCACAGAATTCAAGGTTGGAAATAATTTTCAGCTGAGAATTATGAGAGTTTGTTCCTCTGACTTATTGATTCTAATGCTGCTGCAGTCTGATGCCTTTCTGATTACCAATCCTTAACAGATTATGATTTGTTGTTCTGGGAACTTTCAGAATCTTTTCTTTATCACTCTACAGTTTTATGGTGATATTATGGGGTTTTTTCCCCTCTCTTTTTAGAAAAAAATTCATCATACTGGGTACTCAAACGATAGAATCATGGCCTTTGGTTCTTGGAAATTTTCTTACTTAGGGTTTAGGGCTTAGCACTAATTTTTCTCATAGAGAATTTCAAGCAGCAGCCCCTCTTAACAGATCCACACTTCATCTCTGACTTCCAAGATCCTCATGCTTCCGATTTCTAAGCTCTTTCCAAGTTGTACGGAGCAAATTGTTTCTTCAATAACCCCCTCTGCAGCCTCTTTGGCCCAACTTCCTCCACCCTCCCAAGTCAGTTACTGCTCCACCCACTTCCATCTGCATACATCACAGGGTTCAGGAGTGCAGGTATAATCTCCAAGATAATGAAACATGGAGTTTCTGTTTGCTGCTTTTCTAGTTGTTTTGAGGTGATATACAAAAGGAAGCATAAACATCTTTTCTGCTATCCTAAAACTGAAAGGTCCTCCCTTCAGCATGACTCTATTTATTTATATTTAGCATGTTTCTCTTTAATCAGGTGTTAAAGACCCCTACAATACTTCCAAGTGCTACTACAAACATTTAAATTCATACTGAGCTAGGGATGCCTGGGTGGCTCAGTCGGTTAGGCGTCTGACTCTTGATTTCGGCTCAGGTCATAAGCTCAGGGTTGTGAGATCAAGCCCAGAGTTGGGCTCCGTGTTTAGCAGGTCAGTGGGGTCAGTGAGGAGTCTGCTTCTCTCCCTCTCCCTCTGCCCCACCTCCTGCGTGCATACTCTTTCTCTCTCTAAAATAAATAAATAAATCTTTAAAACCGTATTGAGCTAAAGCCAGAAATGCCCTTCGAGATCATCTCAGGGACTTAATGGGGAAGATAAGCTCTGCAGTCAAGCCCCTTCATTTAAATACAGTTCTGTTTCACGTATTAACTGTTCCTACTAAGCTGCATTAAATTAAAAAAAAAAAGTTAAAAACCTACAGACCATGTGTCATATGCGAACATTCACTGAGCTATTCATTTATGACTTGTACATCTTTCTACAGCATATATGTTTTTAATTTTAAGTAAACTCTCCTTCACACATGGGGCTCAAACTCATGACCCTAAGATCAAGATTTGCATGCTTTACTGAGCCAGTCAGGCATTCCCTTTGCAGCATATCAACCCTTCAATTAAAATGTGTTAAAACCACCGGTTTATGGGGGGCCTAGGTGGCTCAGTGGGTTAAGCCTCTGCCTTCGGCTCAGGTCATGATCTCAGGGTCCTGGGATCAAGCCCAGCATCAGGCTCTCTGCTCAGCGGGGAGCCTGCTTCCTCCTCTCTCTCTCTGCCTGCCTCTCTGCCTACTTGTGATCTCTGTCTGTCAAATAAATAAATAAAATCTTTGAAAAAATTTAAAAAATAAAAAAATAAAACCATTGGTTTAGTTTTAAAAAGGAAACAAACAAACAACAACAAAAGGTAACAGGGCCAGAAAAAATAAGTAATTTTCTCAAAATCATTCAGTCAATAACCAGAACAAGTTCTCTAACTTTCAGCTTCTCATTAACTGATCTAAACATACAAATAAGAACTATTCCAGACTGGGGAGTGGCTGAGACTGGGCAGAAGTGTCACTCTTAGGCCCTAGTCATCCACTCCAGAATGGTGGAAAACTCCAGATACCATAGAAACTGAAGAACTCAATGAACTTAACCAGGGATTATTAAGGGCTGACAGAAGCTCATCAGTCTTCCTGAAATAGAAAACCAAGATTGGGGGTGCCTAGGTGGCTTATTCAGTTAAATATTCGACTCTTGATTTAGATTCAGGTCACGATCTTAGGGTCCTTGGATTAAGCCCCAAGTTGGGCTCTGCACGCAACTCAGAGTCTGCCTGAGTTTCCCCCTCATCCCCCTCCCTGCCTGTCGCACTTTCTCTCTAAAATTAAAAAAAAAAAAAAAATTTTTAAAACAAAAAACCAATTTTGTACTTAAATATTTTCTTGACTATGTAGCATACAATACTAGAATAGCCTTCCCTCTTGCTGTAACTATGCAAACCCTACTATTCTTTCAGATTCAGTTCTAATTCCATTGTATGTAGTCTCCTTAGACCATGTAAATAGTCTCCTTAACTGTTCACATAAAGTTCTCTCCCTCACTTGAACTTATGGTAGTACAAGGTTTCTTTTCCCTTCAATATATATTATATGCTAATGATACACTATCATTGCATTAATTTTCCTGTTATATGTACGACACATTTCTTCTAGAATATAAGCTTTGTGAGGCTAAAATGTATGACAAATACCTCCTGGTTTCACGCATGCACTTAGCAATCTTGCACATTCTGGTATTTCACAAAACACCAAGTGATTATCGTATCTGGAACTCCAGATGGATTTTCCTAACTCCACTGGCATACTAGTTCTTAGAAGGATCAAATGCGATTTCAAGTAAGACAGCCACGAACTACGATTTAGTAATTTTCCAAGTCATTTATACAACTCTTCACATATGAAAAAAAAACTGCTTACTAAGTGTGATTAAATGCGTGACATAAAAGTCTAATTATGTTTTGATCATCTAGAAGTCATTTCTCTTAAGTCTTTTACAGCTGTAGTTGATGCAAGCACAGAAACACAGGAAAAGACCCAACTCACTGCCTGCGGCACAACTGGCGCTGCAGCTCCTACATGAATAGCATCATAAGGGGCTTCTTCAGCGTACCCCATTCTTCCATCCCCCACTGAAAGAAAAAAAATTATGCTTTAAAATCTGTTCAGAAAGAACTACCCAGTGTGAACAATTACAGGAGGCTTAAAGCAGAGCAAAGAGAAACTTTTAATAAATGATGTGGGGACAACTGGATATTCATGTGGAAAAAATATACCCTTGAATCTCTATCTCTTACATGCACAAAAATCAATGTCAGACAGATCAAAGATCTAAATGGGAAAAGCTAAAATAATGCCTCTGCGAAATAAGACAGGGACATAGCTTCATGATTTTATAGTCTTTTTTTTTATGATTTTTATTCATTTATTTGTCAGAGAGAGAAAGAACACAAGCAGGGATAGTGGCAGGCAGAGGGAGAAGCAGGCTCCCCAGTGAGCAGGGAGCCCGATGTGGGGCCTGATCCCAGTACCCTGGGATCACGAACTGAGCTGAAGGCAGATGCTTCATCGACTGAGTCACCCTGGTGTCCTGATTTTATAGTAGCCTTAAAGAAGACACAGAAGGGGAGCTTAGGTGGCATAGTTGGTTAAGCATCCAATCGGTGTTAGGTCAGGTCGTGATCTTAGGGTCATGAGGTGGGGCCCTATATGGGGCTCGGCACTCAACAGAAGCGTGCTTCAGATTCTGTCTCCCTCTCCCCCTGTCCCTCCCACTCGTGCTCACTCTCTCGCACTAAAATAAATAAATTAATTTTTTTAAAAAAGGACACAGAAAACACTAGAAAAAGCTATTAAGTCTGATACATTAAAATTAAGTATTTCTATTGGGGTGCTTAGGTGGCTCAGCCCATTAAGCATCACGATCCCAGGGTCCTGGGATGGAGCCCTGCGTTGGGCTTACTGCTCAGCAGGGAATCTGCTTCTCCCTCTGCCCCTCCCCCCACTTGAGCATGCACTCTTTCAAATAAAAAAATAAACAAAATCTTAAAAAAGTAATATTAAGTATTTCTATTAATCAAGAAGCACCAATATGAGTGAAAAGGCATGCTGCAGAGTGAAAGAAAAGATTTAATATGTATAAATAAAGGGCTAATCTGTAGAGGTCCTATGTATCAAAGAAAAATATAAACAACTCAATATCTGAACAAGACATTTCACAAAGGAAGACATCCAAATGGTCAAGCGTATGAAACAGTGTTTGACTTCACCAGTTGGTAGGAAAATACAAAATTAAAATCACAAAGACTTACTACTATACACTCACTAAGTGGGTAAAAAGAAAAACCTAGCAATACCAAGTGTTGATAAAACAAAGAGCACTAACTCTTAATCTCACAAAACAAACTGAGGGTTGGGGGGGGAGCTTGGGAGAGGGGGATGGGGTTATGGACATTGGGGAGGGTATGTGCTATGGTGAGTGCTGTGAAGTGTGTAAACCTGGCGATTCACAGACCTGTACCCCTGGGGATAAAAATACATTATATGTTTATAAAAAAAAAAAAAAAGAACATTAAAAACAATGATACATTGCTGATGGAAATGTAAATTGGTTCAATCACTTTTAAAAAGTTTTGCAATGTGTATGGTTACCCTATGAACCTGCAATAATGCTCTACACAAATGAATGCTTGTCTGATGAGTGTACATACACATTTGGACCTCTGTCCTCATATGTTCACAGCAGTACTGTGAATATCCCCAAATTAGAAACAACCCAAAATATCCATCTACAGTAGAAGAAACAAACACATTTTGGTGATGTCCTTATAGTAGGATGTTATATAGCAAACAATAAAAATTAATTATACAAAAAAGATGAGTGAATCTTACAAACATAATATTGAATGAAAGAAGTCATTCATCATAGAATATATACTGTATGATTCTGTTTATCTAATGCTCAAAATTAAATTGAGCATCATTTATGGAAGTGCAACTAAGTAGTAAATACATAAAAGTAATGATGCTGGTTAGCACTTCTCCTGAAGGGAAAGAGTTCTGAGAAGAGAAAAGCAAGCAGGGGACATCCCAGCTACAAATGCTGTTCCCCTTTCTAGATCAGTGTGATGATGAAACAGGTATTTTTGCTAAGCTTCGCATTTATGCTCTCTGCATGTTTTAATGCTTGCTACTTCTCATAATAGTACAGTGTGCTCACATGGAAATATGTTCACTATATACTGCTGAAAAAAGCCAACTACGAATGTATGAGCCAATTAAAAAGAAACTGTGTATATGTATATTTTTTCATATGTATATTTATATGTCTACAAAACTTAAGATGGAAAAGGAGGGGTTTCTTTTTTATCTTACACATTTCTGCACTTTAAATTTTTCATAATGGACACTTGCTACTTTGCTATTACTTCTTCAAAAGCAATGAATAAAGAATTCACAACATGAGCATTTTCTGAAATGGTTAACAGTCATATCACCACCGTGGTCAAGGTACAGCCAGCATAATATTTTACAATAACTGTTTTCCTCACCTAGTACTTAAAAGTGAATGTTTAAAAATAAAAAAAGCAAAAACTAGCTTGAGTATTATTTAGCTTGCATGGGATCTTCTGAAAACAAAAATCCTCCAGAGAGGAAATTTTCAAAGTTTTCTGATACTCACCAACGAGTTGCACTCTCCCTGAAGACAAAAGCATTGGATCGTCCTTTCTGACATTATTTATTGAGTCATCTACTAGCTCTTTAATGTGGTCAATTCCTATGACTTTTCCACTAGAGCCAACCTGGAAATGAGGGAATAATTCAATAGCTCACTGGCCTAATTTGTCTTTCTGAAGTGTCATTAAAGTGTCTCCTCACCTAAAGTCACATTCTGCAATGAGAAATGAAGACAAACAGCTCAAGCCACCAATTAGATTGTTACTCAGTTTACTGTATTAACCAAATACAACTTTTTCAGTTATAACCCTCAAATGGATAATTACATCTCAGTAATTAAGGAGATGGAGGTACAAAAACTTGCAATACTAAAAAAAAAAATCCTTTCTTTGAGTTCTCATTTTTAAACCCCACACCCTGAAATAAGACTTAACTGATTAACTAATAATTGACAAATATTAAATGCTTATTATTAATATTAAATAAATTAAATGCTTAATAAGTACATAATAAATTAATATTAAGTACTTAAACTGCATTTAACTAATATTAAATGGTAGTTGGTAAAATCATTTTTAATTCAATTCCATCTAAAAGTGTGAGTTTAAACATTAAAATGTTACATAAAAAATTGTATAGAGATTTCTATACCCGATTCTATTGCCATATGTGGAAAATATAAAATACATAAAAATATAAAAAGGCCCCAAGTATAAATATGAATTGTAAAATAAATTTAACAAAATGTAAAGACTCTGAAGTCAGACAACCTGGGTTCACATCTAACCTTCATCACTTACAACTGTACAACCTTGGCAAGTTATTCTACGAATCAGGTTCCTCAGCTGTAAAATGACGAGGAAAAGGGTACATACCTCTTAAATGATGTGAAACTTAAAAAAAAGAATACATGAAAAGCACTTAGAACACTCACTAGCACATGGTAAATATGTGAAAGACATTAACACTACTTTTAAAAAGGTAACTCAGAAATCTAATGATTTTTAAGAGGTGAATTTTTCTCTAAAACCATAAATACATCAAACATCAAGAACATGTCATTAAGTAAATACTTTGTCTAAGCGTAAAAAAAAAATCCTGGGGTGCCTGGGTGGCTCAGTTGGTTAAGCATCTGCCTTCTGCTCAGGTCATGATCTCTGGGTCCTGGGACTGAGTCTTGTGTTGGGCTCCCTGCCCCGCTCTCCCTCTCTGCCCCTCCCCCTGCTCATGCTGTCTCTCTTGTGTTCTTTTCCAGCGCACACTCTCTCTCAAATAAATAAAATCCTAAAAAACCAAAAAATAAAAAAACCTGACATTCCATTAGGGAGCTTAACTTTTACAAAACAAGTAAGACAACTGAAAAGAAATACCTGAGTCGTCTTATGTAACAAGCACTGTTTCCCCATCAACGGGGAAAAAAAAAAATCAAGTAAAATTCCCACCCTCCCTGGAGCTTACATGCTGGTGGTCTGCCAGTTAAATATTTACAGCAAGCTAAACGGATTCTAAAAGATGCATCATCCATAAATCCCAACCTAACTAGACCAGAATCTTCCTATCTAGCCCTCAGGGACAAGATTTTTCGTAATAATCAAATTGATTTGATTATCTGAGCACAGGTAACTCCAGACTCACTCAGGAGAGTCACTAAGATAAGCCTCTGGTGATAAAACTCGAAGTATAATAAACAAGGCATTTTTCTAAGAGTACTTTTCTTAATATAAAAGAAGCTCTACTCTCATTTCTAATAACCCTGTAGGAGTGTTTGGAAATCAGATTCTCTACATCATTTTCTGCCAGCTGAGAATCTGGAAGAAGGCAGTCTGGAAGCTGCTGGTTGCCATCTTGTGATCACAAGGGAAGAGCCTGACTGAAGCCAACATTTGGCGGAAAGCAAAGCCAAACCAAGAACCAAAGAGAAACCCACTGTCAATAACAATGTCTGATCTTCTTTTGAATCCAGCCACACAAAAAGCCAGATACACTTTGGACTTTTCCATTATATAAACCAAATAAATTCCCCTTTGGGACCGAATTTGGACCATATCTTCTGTTATCTGCAACAACAAAAAAACCTAAATGATACATGTTCCAACTGCTATATTAGTAGAATTAAAACAAAACAAAAACCTCCAAAACTGCTAGTAAAAAAATGTATAGCCAAATATATAATATGCTTCTCCTGGAATGGAATGAAAAATAAAGCTCTTACCATACGTGCAAAACATGCAGTAAGGATTCCACTTCCAGATCCTACATCGAGAGCTTTAGCTCCTTCATGCAATTGATCAAATAGAAGTTCTAACGCATATGCATGCTGCCAAAAGAAAACAAAGCAAATACTCATTTCTTTTCAAGACTCTATAAAGTATATATACCATGGCATATAAAGTTTCCAACTTCATACCAATTTTTCTACTACTGTCACCTACCAAGATAATGAAAACACAACATATTATATACTTAGATTTACAGAATTATGTAAGAAAGTTTTCACTGATTAAATTACATTTATATAAAATGTTTTAGTAGGGGTGCCTGGGTGGCTCAGTGGGTTAAGCAACTACCTTCAGCTCAGGTTATTATCCCAGGGTCTTGGGATCCAGCCCCACATCAAGCCCCACCTCAGGGTCCCTGTTCAGCGGGGAGCTTGCTTCTCCCTCTCCCTCTGTTCCTCCTCTTTCTGCTCTCTCGCTCACACTCTCTCAAATAAAGAAATAAAATTCTTTAAAAAAATAAAATAAAATAAGATGTTTTAGTAAATTTAGATCTCCAGTGTGTGAATTTTTAAATTTTAATTAATTCAAAGTCAAAAGCTACAAAAGGATTTACAGTTAAGTCTCTACCCCACCCCTGTCCATCACCTTTCCCACCCCCAACCAATTTCACTCCCTAAAGGCAATCTATGTTGTCAGTTTCTTGTGATTCCTTTCAAACATACCTATTCTATGCATACACAAGCAAATATGTATCTATTTTTTAATTTACTATATCTTGAAGAACCTTTTTTTTTAAAGATGTTATTTATTTATTTGACAGAGAGAGATCGCAAGTAGGCAGAGAGGCAGGCAGAGAGTGGGGGGGGTTAGCAGGCTCCCTGCTGAGCAGAGACCCACCCCCCATGCGGGACTTGATCCCAGAACCCTGATATCATGACCTTAGCCAAAGGCAGAGGTCCAACCCACTGAACCACCCAGGCACCCCTTGAAGAACTTTTCTTATCAATACTTTTTTTTAAGGTTTCTTTTTAAGATTTTTATTTACTTATTTGACAGAGTGCAAGTGAGCACAAACAAGGGGAGCAGCAGGCAGAAGGAGAGGGAGAAGCAAGCTCTCTGCTGAACAGAGAACCCAATGTGGGTTCCTAGAACCCTGGGATCATGACCAGAACTGAAGGCAGCCATTTAACCGGCTGAGCCACCCAGGCGCCCCTTCCTTATCAATAATTAAATAGCCTGTTCATTCCTTTTTGAGGCTGAGAAGTATATTCTTGTACATATAATAAGAAAACCCACCCCCCAAAAAATCCCTAATGAGGGATATTTAACCTAGCTCCAATCTTCTGTAACAAAAGGGATGAAATAATCTTAAAAGCTGTACGTATAGGATAATATAATGATCTTTATAAAAATCTTATAAAGTGGGGCACTTGGGTAGCTCAGTCAGTTAAGCATCTGACTCTTGGTTTCGCCTCAGATCCTGATCTCATGGGTCATGAGATCGAGCCCCACACCCAGCTCCACACTCAGCAGGAGTCTGCTTAGATACTCTGCCCTTTCCCCCACTAGTGCACACACGCTCTCTCTCTCTCAAATAAATAAGTAAAATCTTTAAAAAAAAAAATCTTGGGGCACCTGGGTGGCTCAGTGGGCTAAAGCCTCTGCCTTCGGCTCAGGTCATGATCCCAGGGTCCTGGGATAGAGCCCCACATCAGATTCTCTGCTCAGCAGGGAGCCTGCTTCCCCCATTCCCCCCCACCCCGCCCACCCTTCCTGCCTCTCTGCCTACTTGCAATCTGTCAAATAAATAAAACAAAATCTTAAAAAAAAAAATCTTGTAAGTGTATGTATAGGATAAGTTCCTAGAAGAAGAACTGACGGGGGTCAAAGGATATATATTTTTATGTTTACAGTATATACAAATTACTAATTAAATAAAATCATATTGGATACACTTTAGACCAAACCAAGAAATAAAGCCTTTTCTACTCCCTCCTGTTTATAAACTTACATTTCAGTGCTTTTCCAAAATATGGAGTTAGAACTAATAAATATTATCTCAAAAGCTGTCCTTAAATGCCTGCTACGTTCATTATTAAAAATCATCAAATGGGGGGGTGCCTGGGTGGCTCAGCTGGTTTAGCAATTGCCTTCGGCTCAGGTCATGATCCTGGAGTCCCAGGATTGAGTCCCATAGCAGGCTCCCTACTCAGCAGGGAGACTGTTTCTTCCTCTGATCCTCCCCACCCCCACACTCGCTCTTTCTCTCATTCACTCTCTCTCAAATAAATAAAATCTTAAAAAAAAAATCAGCAGAGGGGCACCTGGATGGCTCGGTCTCTTAAATGTCTGACTCTACGTTTTGGTTCAGGTCATAATTTCAGGGTCATGGGATCGAGCCCTACAAAGGTCTCCATATTCAGCATGGAGTCTGTTGTTCCCCTACAACCCATTCTCTCTCTAGAATAAATAAAATATTTAAAAGGAAAAAAAGAAAAAATTTAAGCATTAGAAACAGGTAATGTTCAAAATGGAGGCCAGACTGTAAACTCCCTATTTAGAAAACTAATTTAGGTGACCAAAGCCTTAGAGCCTAAGGAACCAGCATGAGAGAGCCTGCTAGGACACAGGAAACGTTCTGATCTTCATCTAGGTGATGGTTACACATATACATATGTGAACATTCATTAAGCTATACACTTAAGATCTGTGTACTTTTCCGAGTGTGTATAATAATTTAAAACATTATCGAGGGGCACTTGGATGGTGCACTCAGTTAAGCATCTGACTCTTGGTTTCAGTTCAGGTCATGATCTCAGGGTCTTGGGATTGAGGCCCACGTCAAGCTCCACACTCAGCACGGAGTCTGCTTGTCCCTCCCCCTCTGTTCCTCCCCATGCTCTCTCTTTCTCTCTCTCTTTCAAATGGATAAATAAAATCTTTTAAAAAAGTAAAGTTATTGAAAAGACTTTATTCCAATCACTAAAAGTGGACGATCAGATACCATGCCCCCCCCTCCATGTGATGGAACAGAAAAAAACCATTAGGCAGTATTCTTGAAAAGGAAAAGGGAAAGAAAAAAAAAAAGGTGTGTGTGTCAGTGTGTGGGGGGTAATAAGTTAAAATATCACTAGGAAACAATTAACCAAATTTAGAATATGGGAAATTCTATAGGACAAACGGACAGGTTTGTTTTGTTTTGTTTTTAAGAATTTATTTATTTGAGGGAGATTGGAGAGGGAGGGAAAAAGCAAAGGGGAGGGGTAGAGGGAGAGGGAAACAGAAACTTAGGCAGACTCTGCCTTGAATGTGGAGCCCGACATAGGACTTGATCTCACAACCCTGAGATCAGGACCTGAGCTGAAACCAAGAATTGCACACTCAACCGACTATGCCACACAGACTCCCCCAAATGGATGAGTTTTGTCAATAAATAAGTGGTATTTTAAAAAATGAAGGGGTCTTTTAAAATTAAAAGGAACGAAAAAGAGTGAAAAAAACTAAAAAGATGCAAAGTCTGGACCTTGTTTGGATCCTGATTTAAGCAAATTAACCATAAAACAATGTTTTTGAAACACTTGGTATAGTCTGAGCAGAACTATGTGTAAGATATTAATATACTAAGGAACATTTTTAGGTATGATATAGTATTGCAGTCATGTTTTTAAAGTAATCAGATTTATACTTAAATATTTAGGGGTGAATAATATTATGTTTGGGATTTGTTTTTAAATAGTTCAGCAAGAACGAAACAAAGATAAAACAGGATTAACAAATTGTGGGTAATTATTAAAGGTGACGATGGCTACATGAGGGTTCATTATATTATTCTATTTATATATGTGGTGTTAGAAACTTCCACATTAAAAAGTTAAAACAGAAAAAGTTAAGGCTACTATTCCACAACTAATGTAAAAAAAGGCCTTTAATAGATACAACTATAAACAATCCCAAGGGTTTTCAAACAGTGTTCCAGAAAGTCATTAAGGTCCAAAAAAGCTCATTAGGGATAACACACAAATGCACACTGAAGGATGGGTGTGCTTTGGGGAAAGAGTTTTAGAGAACGAACTTTATCAATTTTTCACACAGACTGCTTTACAAAAGAGGCTCTTGACTGAAGAGTGAAAAACACTTATGTTATGAAAAAGAGTTCTGGATTAAATATAAATAGCAGCTTTCATCAGACTCTTACAATAATCAGTTATGAGGTTTAATAATTTCTACTAATAAGATAACAAGTATGGGCCTAGAATAGGGAAGTAGTCAAAGAAACAAAATAACTCCTGCAATATCTGACTTTCCTGATCCAGAAATCAAAGGACAAGAAGGAACTTTCTGAAGGTGCCAATCCTCAACCTACAGACAGTACTGTACCATCTTAATTCCAAAAAAGCCTCAGGAATCTTTTTTTACAGTACCACATTTGCATATAAGATTTGTTTTTTTTTTTTTTTAAAGGAAGTATGCTGGGGCGCCTGGGTGGCTCAGTGGGTTAAAGCCTCTGCCTTCAGCTCAGATCATGATCCCAGGGTCCTGGGATCAAGCCCCGAATCGGGCTCTCTACTCAGCAGGGAGCCTGCTTCCCCCACACACCTCTCTGCCTTCCTTTCTGCCTACTTGTGATCTCTATCAAATAAATTAAAAAAAAAAAAAAAAGAAGTATGCTGAGTTATTATTAAAGTCCCATCCAGAGGTAAAATGTCAAGGCCTTCAATCACAATTGCTAGCTTTTTTTATGCTTTTATCAGCCTAGCTAATATTTTTCTAGATAACCCATGTTTATCTCTAAATTCTTAAACTAAGCTTTTTAGAAGTTCTTTTTTTATATAATTATGAAAAATTTTAAACCCACAAATACACTGAATACACTTTTTTCCTTATATACAGTCACCAACTTTATATATTGTGCCAACTGTTTTTCAAAACCATCTGAAAATAGGCTGTAGACATCACGATACTTCACCCCAAAATACTTCAGCATGAATCTGCTAAAAAAACTAGGACATCTCCCTTTGCAACCACATCACCATTAACACACTCAAGAAAATAATCAATTTAGTATCCTCTAACATACACACCATACTCAAATTTCAACTGTCCCCAAAATGTTCTTTTTTTCTTTAATATTCTTTTTTTTTAAGATTTTATTTATTTATTTGACAGAGAGAGAGAGATCACAAGCAGGCAGAGAGGCAGGCAGAGAGAGAGGGGGAAGCAGGCTCCCCGCTGAGCAGAGAGCCCGATGTGGGGCTCTGTCCCAGGACCCTGAGATAACGACCTGAGCCAAAGGCAGAGGCTTAACCCACTGAGCCACCCAGGCACCCCCCAAAATGTTCTTTACAGCTGTTTTTTCCCTAGTCCTTTCAAGGTTCATGCACTGCATTTGTCAATATTAAATATTCCCCCCTCAATTCTCCTCTACCCACCACTTCTCTATTCTTCAGAACAACTGACTCCTTTAAGAAGTCCTGTCTGACCATCCCACATAATACCCCATATTCTAGATTTCCTCAATTTCCTCAGTGTTAGACTCAGATCCAAGACTTAGCAAGAACAGCACAAGAGGCTTGCTAGGCACCTCCCGTTGCATCACATCAGGAAGCACATAATGTTGGGCCACCTCACCTCTAGACTTGCCAAGCTCAACCCACTCAGTCAATGTGGTAACAACTAGATCACTCTATTTTAAAGGCCTAATTTTCTCTTTGTAATCAGTAATATGTAGAAAAATAATTTGAGACTACTTGAACACTTTTGTTCCCAATAACCTTCCTCTAAATTGTTTTAATTGATGATCTCTGCCCAATTCAATCATTATATTGATGATTACAAAATAGTGATTTTTTTAAAAAGTTCTATTATTCCCTCCATATGTATTAATTGCCATTCACCTGTTTTTCATTTTTGTCTCTGACTTGCTTTTTAAAAAAATCTCTACAAACTCATGTATTTTTGTTTCTTAATTCACAATGTTATAATCCATTATCTTCATTATCTATCATTTTTTCAATTTTCAAATTGTCTACAATTTGGCCTCTGGGAATCTCTTCAAACCTGCTCCTATGTCCTTCCAACATCACCTCATAAACCTTTGAGTACTTCCTCACTTTCCAGTATTCAGTTACTTATCCAAGGAGCTCTAGTCTCGTTTAGTGAGAAATGATATTGAGGATTCAATATCTGCATACTAAGTGTGCTTACATCTACCAGGCTGCCATTTTAACAGGTTGCTTTTAATCTCTTGCCCAGTGCATACAACACATTTTCAATTAAGACTCTGGAAAATACTCCAGGATTGTAGATACTTCTAAGCAAGTCTGTGATTTCAAAGTTCATTAAATAGAGATGTCATTTCTCTCTGCTCCTCACTTTCTGTTTTTCTTTAAACACTTCTCAGATCTATGCAATAAATGATACAAAATCACAAATGCTTGTTCGCGTAACACAATCATTACTGTTTTATTCTCCTCACATCCTGGTTCAGCAAGCATCAAAGGAGAGTGTAGTATTACTGTTTGTACGTACATACATACATATAGATGCACTGTGTGACTATATACATACACATAAATACACACATTTTCCTTATTAAGAGACAGCGGTAAGGATATATAAGTGATTAAAAATGCATCCTTTTTAGCTGCCTGCATGGCTCCCAGTGGGTTAAGCATCTGCCTTCAGGGCAGGTCATCATCCCAGGGTCCTGGGATCGAAACCCCATATCTGCCTCCCTGCTCAGTGGGGAGTCTCCTTCTCCCTCTCCCTCTGCCTCTCTCCCTGCTTGTGCTCACTTGCATATGCATGCTCTCACTCTCTCAAATAAATAAAATCTTTAAAAGTAAATAAATAAAATAAGTAAATCAATATTTTTAAAAAACAAAACTATTCCTATTCCATGGTTAAAAAACACAAAGAAGTGAGCATCTGGCTGGCTCAGTCAGAGAAGCATGCAACTCTTGATCTTGGGAGTTGGGAGTTCAAGCCCAGAGATTACGTAAATAAACTTAAAACGAGAGAGAGAGAGAGAGAGAAGAAACAGAAACTGGTAACATGTATAGGGTACAGAGTGAAAAGGAGATCTCACTTTCAATCCCATCCCTCTAATCATCTACTTCTGACCTTAGAAGAAACCATTTTTAGTTTTCATGCCTAGAGGAAGACATATATGTGTATGTATATGTGCAGATTTGATTTTTGTATATTATAGAATACTATAAATACTCTTCTATACTCTACTTTTATACTTAATGTTTCCTGAACATCTTGCCATATTGGTACTTGCCGAGATTCCTCATTTAACAGCTTCACAGTAAATCTCACTGTATGGATGTACTACAATTATTAACCATCCATTATTAGTGGACTATCAGTGATCACTTTATTTTTTTCCATTATAACTAATGGGACAATGAACATCTTATAGTCATTTTGTACCTATAAAAATATACCATAGGATAAATATCTTGAAATAAAACTGAAGAGTGAAAGGTTTATTTATTTCACATTTTATAAATTTGCCAAATTGCCTTCCAACACTATCAATTTCCTCTCAACAAAAAAGTACGTAATTGTTTCCCTCTTTCCAATACAAAGTATTAAACTTTTTGACCTCTGACAATCTGATAGGTGAAAAATGGTACTTCACTACAATTCTAATGTGTGATTTACTAAGCATATAAAGATAAATGAAAATGACTTTTTTTTCATTTGTTTAAGCACTAATGTCATCTGTATTTCTTTTTCTATGAACTATTATTCTTTTACTTTGTACTTTAACTACATTCTTTTGGGTTCACCAGTCTTTCACTTCTTACTTTACAGGATACACACCCACATTTGTATATGGAAATATGCCCTAGATTGTTGTATGTATTATAAATATTTCCCTCAGTTTTTCTTCTTTTAATTTTGCTTGTAACATCTTTTTCTCTGCAGAAATCCTAAATTTCTATGTTGCAAAATACATGTTTTTAATGGTTCCTCTTTTGTCATGTTTTATAAAGTCATTTCTAGGGGCGCCCAGTGGCTCAATCGTTAAGCATCTGCCTTTGGCTCAGGTCATGATCCCAGGGTCCTGGGATAGAGCCCTGCATCGGACTCCCTGCTTGGCGGGAAGCCTGCTTCTCCCTCTCTCACTCCCCCTGCTTATGTTCCCTCTCTCGCTATGTCTCTGTCAAATAAATAAATAAAATCTTTAAAAAATAAAAAGTCATTTCTAGGGGCACCTGGGTGGCTCAGTTGGTAAGGCATCTGGGTCTTGATTTTAGCTGAGGTCATGATCTCAAGGTCATGAGAGCCTCACACCAGACTCCACACTCAGCGGGGAGTTGACTCCCCCCTTCCCTCAGCCCCTCTCTCTAAAATAAATAAATAAATCTTTTGAAAATAAATTTAGAAATAAAGTTATTTTTTTTTAAGATTTTATTTATTTGTTTGACAGAGACAGCAAGAGAGGGAACATAAGCAGGGGACAGTGGAAGAGGGAGAAGCAGGCTTCCTGCTGAGCATGGAGCCCAATGTAGGGCTCAATCCCAGGACCCTGGAATCATGCCTTGAGCTGAAAGTAGACACTTTACAAGTGAGCCACCCAGGCACCCCAAGTCTTTTCTATTTAATGTTTATAAATAATGATTTTCCTATATTTTCACCTAGTGTAATTATCAGTTCATCATAAATATATGTAAATTTATTTTATTTTATTTTTTTTTTTAAAGATTTTTTTTATTTATTTATTTGACAGACAGAAATCACAAGTAGGCAGAGAGAGAGGAGGAAGGCAGGCTCCCCGCTGAGCAGAGAGCCCGATGCGGGGCTCGATCCCAGGACCCCGGGATCACGACCCGAGCCGAAGGCAGAGGCCCCAACCCACTGAGCCACCCAGGCGCCCCTGTAAATTTATTTTAATATAAAGAAGGCTTTACATTTAAATAAGAGCTTCTCCAATCCCAAATACTCTCAGAGAATCAGAAAAGCTATTGTTCTTCTTCCCCAAAACCAACAGAGTACTCATTCAAATAACTGACATTTAAAACCCAAGAAAATTCCCAACAGATTAAAAGTGCCAGATAACTTAAAATAGGTCCTTCTCAAAGTTATAAAGCTTCATAGCTGCTATACTTGACCAATCCCTAATGAATTTTCCAAATAAAATATGAAATAAAAGAAATAATATTCAACTTGAGATTTCTACAATATATCCATTGTATTATTTAAAATAGTCTCTTCCAAAAAATAAAAAATAAAAAATAAATTTAAAAAAATTAAAAAAAAAATAAAATAAAATAAAATAGTCTCTTCCTTGGGGCACTTGGGAGGCTCAGTCAGTTAAGTGGCTACCTTTGGCTTGGGTCCCGATCCCAGGATCCTGGGATCGAGCCTCCCATCAGGCTCCATGCTCAGTGAGGAGCCTGCTTCTCTCTCTGTCTGCTGCTTCCCTGGCTGTGCTCTTTCTCTGATAAATAAATAAAATCTTAAAAAAATATATTCTCTTCCTTAATTTGCTCATCACTAAAGAACCTTTTATATCCCATTTTTATATGATTAGATAATAATGACAACCAACAAAACTTTAATGACAATATCTATCAAGAAGACTTCTCTCTATATGTCATGTATTAAGTATAAGAGGTTCGGGGCGCCTGGGTGGCTCAGTGGATGAAGCCTCTGCCTTCGGCTCAGTTCATGATCTCAGGGTCCTGGGATTGAGCCCCACATCAGGCTCCTTGCTCAGTGGGGAGCCTGCTTCCCCCTCTCTTTCTGCCTGCCTCTCTGCCTACTTGTGATCTCTCTCTCTCTCTCTCTGTCAAATAAAATATTAAAGAAAAAAAAAGGTATTTATTAAAAAAAAGAGGTTCATTACCAATCTACATAACTCATAGATGATAAAATTGATCTAATTACAAATTCAACTTTTTTTAAAACCCTTTTTAATGAAGAAATGTCTTAGAGGGAAAATGTGATCAATTTATCCAAATGACCAAAGTCAACTTACCATGTGTGGAGCACTGATTGTTGCTTGGAAACCTGCAAAAGAAGAAGAGAACTACTGACACATTCAGCTGCAAAAACATACCAGATACTCCACATAACTCCTTTCCTAAGATTCACAAATTCTTTTCCATAATAATATTTTGTTTTTATGATCTCAAGAAAATAAAACTTTTATTTTGCATTTTAGAGTACTGTCAAGCAGCAGTTAAAATGAGAAAATACAATCATGCCAAAGGCTAATATGCTCATTTAGTACAACACTCCCACTATTTCCAAAAATTTCTTCTGCCACAGTTAGCTAACATACAGTTGTCAAGAAGTTGAGTTGGTAAGTTTATGACTTGTTTTCTCTCCAGGTTTATAAAAAGAAAATAAACTTCCATATATATATATAACAGGCATGCAAAATCTCTGAAAATTAAATTGCCTCCTATTTCTGGCAACTTATTGGGCAACTGGCAATCAGAGTAGCTTGAGACTAAAAAACTATCTCAGTTTACTCTTTATACTATTGCGTGATTTCACAATCTTTTCTCAGTTTTTAGCTTTCAAGTTTTTTCTTCCAGTGCTGCTTTCTCGAAACTTATTTACCTGCTTCTGCATCTGAAGCAATTTTCACTGAGCGGTGGTAGCAGGTGCCTTCGGGGTTCAGAAGCTCCCCAGGATCTTCTCTGCTGACTGTTAGAGTGCTTCAAAAGAAGAAAGCATGGCAGCTGGCAGACAGAATCCTGAGGCCCTTCTAAGCCTCAAAGGCGCCCACTGCCAAGGCTCAGCAGTTCATCAAAACCTGCTTCAGGAGAAGGAGTTAAATACTGAACTTTCTAAAACCAAGCACAAACCAAAAAATTCAGGGCAAGTGAAGCAGAGAAGTCAGTAACCACTTAATTATACTTATTTCCTTTAATATTCATTTAAAAAATTGATGTTAATGTGAAAAAAACTTTAGTCATTAAGGCCCTAAAGAAAGCTCAGCACTCAGCTTAAATTTAAATTTTCATTAAAAGTATGTTTCAAGGGGCGCCTGGGTGGCTCAATGGGTTAAATAAAGCCTCTGCCTTCGGCTCAGGTCATGATCCCAGGGTCCTGGGATCGAGCTCCACATCAGGCTCTCTGCTCAGCAGGGAGCCTGCTTTCCCTCCTCTCTCTCTCTCTCTGCCTCTCTGCCTACTTGTGATCTCTGCCAAATAAATAAATAAAATCTTAAAAAAAAAAAGTATGTTTCAAGAAAAATGTTTAAAATATTCTTTATAGGGGCGCCTGGGTGGCTCAGTGGGTTGGGCCTCTGCCTTCGGTTCAGGGTCCTGGTATTGAGCCCCGCATCGGGCTTTCTGCTCAGCAGGGACCTGCTTCCCCCTCCCTCTCTCTGCCTACTTGTGATCTCTGTCAAATAAATGAATAAAATCTTTAAAAAAAATAAAATAAAATACTCTTTATATATATTATATATAGTTTGAAAAAATAGAAAAAATACTTAATACATAACATCATTTTATTGAAAATGCCTGTTTGGAATTATGACACTTAACTGAGGCATAAAATTCACACTAGCAAGGTAGTAATAAATATCTGTGTCCCAGTCCATTTTTACTTAACAAAATATACAGTAAGTGAGCAAAAACGTGACATTTTGAGAAGTCCAGACCTTACCTATTGATTGTGGAGAATCCATATAAGGATTACATTTTGCATAGTGGGAACGGTCTGTGGCCAGCATTACTTCAAATACTTTATCTGTTTTGATGATTCCATTTTCTGAAATGAATGAGGCAAACATTTTAAGCTAGGAGTGAGAGGACTAGATGTACTTTAGAATTTACTTTGGTTGCACTGGAGAGCAAGATTGGAAGTTGTTGCAATGACCCAGGTAAACACAACCTGGTCTTCAGTGATGACACAAAGGATGAAGAAAAGTAGAAGGATTTGAGTTATATTTAATAGGTAATATATACCTAACTAACTAGCTTTGGAGGAAAGATAATGGGTAATGGTTCAGATGCTGATATCATACACTGATTTGCAAAATCCTGGAAAAGCAGCAGAGTTAAGGAGGAAAGGATAACTTAGTTATTTGTTAGTGGCTATAAACCATACAAGTGGAGATAATGCAGCAGTCCACTGAACACATGGATCTGGGGCTCAGGAAAGAGATCTAGGACAGTGATATAGACTTCTAGTAATATAGATGGTAACTGAAGCAATGAAAGTGAACTCAAGTAGCCAGGGAAGAATACACAAAGAAGAAAAACAAAAGCAAACATTGAAGAGATGTGCAAAGGAAGTGGGACCTTCAAAGATTATGACAAAAAGCAGCTACGTGATGAAAATCAAGTAGATAAACTGTTACAAAGCCCAAGAAAGCAAGGTCAATGATTATATTTGGCTCCCCCAATGAACTATAAATTCTTTGAGATTAACTATACTATGTTAAACTCAAATAACCCTCATGGTACCATATACAGTTGTTATTCAGTAAAGTCCTTATTAACTCACTCAATATGCTTACTGACTGTCTAATACATACCAGACACAATGGTACACAGGATTATTATTATATAGGATTAAAAATAAACAAGATAACATAATTATAATTTTACAATGTAAATAGGTGAATTATATAGTATAAAAGTATACTTTAGTAAAGCTATTTAAAAAAAAATTCAGGGGCGCCTGGGTGGCTCAGTGGGTCAAGCCGCTGCCTTCGGCTCGGGTCATGATCTCAGGGTCCTGGGATCGAGCCCCGCATCGGGCTCTCTGCTCAGTGGGGAGCCTGCTTCCTCCTCTCTCTCTGCCTGCCTCTCTGCCTGCTTGTGATCTCTGTCTGTCAAATAAATAAATAAAATCTTTAAAAAAAAAATAAATAAATAAAAAATAAAAAAAAATTTCAAAGGGGGAGCCTGTGTCGCTCAGTTTTTCTTTTTTTTTTTTTTTTTTAAGATTTTTAAAAGTAGGCAAGGGGCGGGGGGTGAGCAGGTTCCCGCTGAGCAGAGAGCCTGACATCAGGTTCAATCCCAGGACCTTGGGATCATGACCTGAGCCCAAGGCAGAGGCTTTAACCCACCCAGGCACCCCTGGGTGGCTCAGCTGGTTAAGCGTCTGACTCTTGGTTTTGGCACAGGCTAGTTTTGGCACATGATCTTTGGGTCCTGAGATCAAGCCCCACCTTGAGCTCCATGCTTGGCAGAGTCTGCTTGTCCCTCTCCCGCTGCTCCTCCACGTGCTTGCTGAATCTCTCTCTCTCTCCCTCATAAATAAATTTAAAAATTTACAAAAAATTCAATGGGACTAGAAGTGGCAATCAAGAAGCTTTGATTCTGGGGAAGAATGAAAAGAAAACAGGGAAAGAATGGTGACTTTTGGGGCACCTGGGTGGCTCAGGGGTTAAAGCCTCTACCTTCAGCTCAGGTCATAATCTCGGGGTCCTGGGATCGAGCCCTACATCGGGCTCTCTGCTTGACAGGGAGCCTGCATCCTCCTCCTCTCTCTCTCTGCCTGCCTCTCTGCCTACCTGTGATCTCTGTCTGTCAAATAAATAAATAAATAAATAAATAAATAGAATGGTGCCTTTTGGTGCAGCAATAAAGGAAAAAGAGAATTAAGGATACTGTAGAAACAAGAGTAACAGGATGTGCCGACTCCTCCCCTTTTCCCAGTACTACTCCTAACACATCACCATCCATTAAAGAAACTGCAAGTCACTAAACTAAAAAAAAGGTGTTCTGGAACTGTGTCCACAAAATGTTCAAAAATAGGAAAAAGAAAAAACCCAACTCCATTCAAAGATACTGTAAAAAAGAAAACAAAATGCAAATCAAAACATTTCAGCTGAGGGGCACTTGGTGGCTCAGCAGGTTGAGCACCCAATTCTTCATTTTGGCTCAGGTCAAGGTCTCTGGGTCATAAGATCAAGCCCCCCCCCAGCCTTGAGCGCCAAGCTCAGCAAGGAGTCTGCTTAAGATTTTTTCCCCTCCCTGCTTCTGCTCTCTAAAATAAATACACAAATAAAATTTTTTAAAAAATAAAAACAAAAAACGAGGGGTGCCTGGGTGGCTCAGTTGGATAGGTATCTGACTTTGACTCAGGTCATGATCTCATGGCCCTGGATCAAGCCCCATGCCAGCCTCTGCACTCAGTGGGGAGTCTGTTCCTCCCTCTCCCTCTTCCCCTCCCCCGGCTCATGCTCTCTCTCTCAAATAAATAAAATCTTTAAAAACTTAAAAATTAAAAAAACATTTCAGCTGATTTAACAGAAACAATAATTTTAAAACTATACTCTGAGAAAAACAGCAGAAAGTAAGTAAAAGTATTACCAGGAACAATCAACCTCACGACATATACTAATAAAACTATCAGACTTTAGAGGCACCTGGTGGCTCAGCTAGTTATGTGTAAACTCTTGATTTCAATGCAGGTCATGATCTCAGGTTAGTGAAATTGAGCCCCACAGTGCAGGGTGTGGATTCTCTCTCCTCCTCCTTCTGCCCCTCTTCCCCCTGCCCCTGCACCCAAGCCTGGCTTGGGAGCACGCTCCCTCTAAAACAAAAACAAGCAACAACAACAAAAAAATACCATCAGACTTTAAAGGCATGGGAAAAAAAAAATCCTCAGAACCTCAAGGGAAAAATTACCTAATAAGGGTTAAAAAAAACTACCTAATAAGGGTTAAAAAAATAAGGGAATTACCTAATAAGGGTTAAAAAAAAAAAAAGTTAGGCAACCATCAGACTTCCTAAGAGCAAAATTCAAATCAAAGCAAGAATGAAGTAACATTTTCAAGAAATTCAAGAAAAGAAAGTGCAGGGGCACTTGGGTAGCTCAGTCAGTTAAGCATCTGACTCGGTTTCGGCTCAGGTCATGATCTCAGGGTGCTGGGATCGAACCCCAGGTCAGGCGTGGCATTCAACGGGGAGTCTCCTTGAGATTCCTTCTCATTCTCTGCCTGCCCTCCACCCCCCACCCCATACTTACTCACTCTCTCAAATAAATAAGTAAATCTTTAAAAAAAGGGGGGGGGAGAGAGAGAGAGAAAGGAAGGAAGGAAAGAAAGAAACAGACAAAAAGAAAGAAAATGCAAATCAACAATTAAAAGAAGCAAACTACTGAGGCACCTGGCTGGCTTAGTGAACATAGCATGCAACTCTAGATCTTGGGGTCATGAGTTCAATCACCACACTGGGCATAGAGCTTACTTTAAAAAAAAAAAAAAATTTTTTTTAAAAACCCCACAATAACAAAAAAACAACAAAAAAAGAAACTACTACTGCATTCAATAACTTGGATAAATCTCAAAAGTACCAATTTCAGTTAAAGAAGTCAACCAAGAAGACTATACGTTATATAATTCCATTTATGTCAAATTCTAGAAAAGTCAAAACCATAGTGGCATAAGGCTGATCTATGATTGCTAGAGACGGGGGTAAAAAGAGTAGATTAATTGCAAAGGCGCATCAGGAAACTGTAGGTAAAAGAAATGTTCTGTATCAGAGATCAGCAAATTTACATAAAAGTCCAAATAGTAAATATTTCAGGCTTTGCAGACAAAAGTCTCTGTTGCAAGAACTCAACTGTCAGTGTAGTATGGGAACAACCACAAACAACACCAAAAAAAGGCTGTATTAAGAAAACTTTTACAACTAAAAATAAAGAGTTGGGGCGCCTGGGTGGCTCAGTCGGTTAAGTTGTGACTTTTTTTTTTTTTATAAAGATTTTATTTATTTATTTGACAGACAGAGATCACAAGTAGGCAGAGAGGCAGACAGAGGGAGAGCGAGAGGAGGAAGTAGGCTCCCCGCTAAGCAGAGAGCCTGATGCAGGGCTTGATCCCAGGACCCTGGGATCATGACCTGAGCCGAAGGCAGAGGCTTCAACCCACTGAGCCACCCAGGTGCCCCAAGTTGTGACTCTTGATTTCAGCTCAGGTCACGATCTCAGTATCCTGGGATCATGCCCCACTTTGGGCTCCATGCTCAGCCAGGAGGCTGCTTCAGGATTCTCTCTCTCCCTTTGCCCCTCCCTCGGGCACTCACACTCTCTCTACATAAAATAAATAAATACATCTAAATAAATAAACAGCGGCGCCCGGGTGGTTCAGTTGTTTTAAGCATCTGCCCTCTGCTGGGGTCATGATCCCAGGGTCCTGGGATAGAGCCCTGCATCGGGCTCCCTGCTCTGTGGGAAGCCTGCTTCTCCCTCTCCCATTCCCCCTGCTTGTATTCCCTCTCTCACTGCGTCTCTCTCTGTCAAATAAAGAAATAAAAATCTTTTAAAAAATAAATTAAATAAATAAATACAGACAGACAGACAGTAGACCAGATTGGCTTGTGCAGCGTAGTTTCCTGACCCTTATTCTGTATCATTAGGGTGTTGGGTTACAGAACTATATTTTCCGAATTTTTCAAATTGTAATAATTTTTTTTAAGTGTGTGCGTGTGGGGTCGGAGGGCGGGGAGAAAGAGAGAGGACGTCAGTGCATGCAAATGTGCACACGCCCACGAGGGGGAAAATCTTAAGCAGGCTCCAGACCCCGGCATTGTTGGGCTCCATCTCACAACCCTGAGATCATGACCTGAGTCGAAATCAAGAATCAGACACTTAACTGAGTCACCCAAGCACCCCCTGAATGGTTTTTTTCCCCAAAGATTTTATTTATTGAGGGAGAGAAGGATAAGCAGGCTCTCCGCTGAGCAGGGAGCCCCACACAGGGCTCCATCCCAGGACTCCAGGATCATGACCCGAGCTGAAGGCAGATGCTTAAC